TTTCAAAACCTCTTGGTTGTCTTTTTGTGTGGCTTTCCACGGTATTTTAAGCATTCTTTTATAAAACCACATCTCTAAGGCATCAAGAAAATGTTAAATGCATACAATTCCTTTCAAAAATTATTTATGAACTTCATGGCCATGCACCACTGGTTCATTTTCATTATTTTTATGTTGTTCATTGATTGGAAATTTTAGAATTTTAAAAACTAATTTATACGAACTCATATTATTTGTGTTTTCCTGCCTGTGCTATTCATTTTTCAGATTCATGTTACTTAAAAACAAAATTAACATTCATTAGAATGATAGTCCCCAACACTCTTTCAGCAACTAATCAACATTCAATTTTATTCACCACAAAATCAGTTTTCAGTTTCACAGTTACAAATCCATATTTACAAAATATGCTAATGTGGGGAAAAAAAAATGGTTGTAAACAACCAGTGGAAAACTGAAGTTTCCAATACCATTGTCTGCACCGCCAAGTTTCTAGTGAAATGTACACTAAAAGCAACATTTAAATCAGCCATGCATTAAGCAGTACACTAACGATGTAAAAATGGGCTACATTAAACTTTACTTCAAAAGTAATTTCTGGTTACAATTTTTACATATAATGGAATGGTACATGGAATTAAATCAAAAGTAACAATTAGAAAAAAAATAAGTTAGTAATTTTGTGTAAACTACTGAAGTGTTTCTGTAAGGTGGTAAAAATTTGAAAATTATTTATATTGTCATGATAGTAAGTACAGAGAAGGGACTCAGCTTGAGTAGCCAGACGACAGACATGATGAGATTACAGAAATACATGCACATGCAATAAAAAGTCAATGGTACTAATTTGGGGCAAGTCAAATTCAAACAACTAAGTATATGGATAATACAATTCTGATAATTTACCTCGGATAGAAAGGACAAAATAAACAAATAAAAGCTACTTTTATAAAATGAACAGGCCTGGCTCTCTAGCTTAGTTGGCTAAACCGAATTGCGCGGAGACCGGGTGACGAACTCCTTGATGTCCGGGTTCACTCCCGGGTGTAGGCAGAAAAGCCACATTTCTCCCAGATTTACAGTATTTACAATTGAATCATGGCCAAAAGGTTGCAATATCCATAATACCGAGCCTAAGGGTTAACAACTCATGGCTTCTGGATACTAAAACAAACAAACAAACATAAAATGAACAGATATTTCAGTAAGATGTAATTTGGAGATAGAAAATGTATTCTCATACATTACATAGAATAATTTTTAAATACGACTTTGAATCTTGTAAAGTAACAAGTAAAAGACCTTTTTCCCATGCCTTCAGATATATTAGGCATATAGGGCTAGACCTACATTCTATAGACCAATCAGCACTTGGTGGGTGATATGGTCAACATCACGCCAGCCACCTTTACTTCCAGGACTTTACCTGCGGAGCCAAGGTCATTTTGGAAAAAACTGGCTCCATTTCAATTTCAGCCCACAACTTTCGGATCTGCAGGTGATCGTCAAGCCACAACAACACACCTGTTCCCATGAATTTAGTCTAATAAATAATAATAAACAAGAAAGACATTTCCTGGAAGCCATCAGAGGTAGTAAAATAACCAAGACAGTTAAAAAAAAAAAAAAGTAAGGTGCCTTCGAAAGTGATCAGGACAGAAAGGACATTTATCAAAGAGTCAGATGGAAACAGTATACATGCTTTAGTCACATCTTAAGAATGGAAGTACTAAAACATACTGCATTAGCTGATAATAGTGAAGGGGATATTCTCAGATATGCATCTGTGTCTTAGCAATGTAAATTCATCTGGATTCATCTGGGTATAGATTCAATTTACAGCATTCAGGACAAGCCCATATTAGTTTCATCTTCCTTCTCAACAGCCAGCCAAGAGTCTCCATACTGATAGTGTCCGTTATCATTTGGTTAACTACTCAGCTTGCCTTTCCCCTGAGTCTCGAGTGGTGCCCAGAGCCACAGTCACTCCCTGCTGTATCATTCTTTACAGGTGCAGGTTTTCAGTATCTTCCATTTTATTTGTTACCTCACCCCAGATCACCTCTGCCTTGCGTAGTTGCTGTGCAGCCCCAAATGGGGCCAGTTCAGCTAACCTATCTGCCTGCTCATTTCCAAATACACCTGAAAAGCTAGTGCAAAATTGTGCAAATTACATATAGTTAGTAGAAGTAAGTAATGTATCAATTGATGTCATTAAAATCTGGGTATATGGTGCTATATACACATGTTTATAGACCAATAAGTACTTATCGGGTAATGTGGTCAACAATTACATGTACCTACTGCATCATTTACTTTCCCAATAAATGCTTGTAGACATATTGATTTGATAGATGTATTTAGGGAAAAACAACAACAACAATATCTTACGATTTTAAACATATAGATGCTGTTTAGGTTAAAAATGACACTGATAATAAAATTAGATAATCATACAGCTAAAAGATGTAGTAAAGTACAACAAAACAGGACATATAAACAGCTTTTGAGCATAAATTCATATTTCATAGATATACTAAAACATCAAAAATGGGTTCTCAGAAAAGTATTCTAAAACTTGTGTGTAAATTTTAAAAAAAAAAAAAAGTGCTTTGGAATGATTAAATAATGTTGTCTTTTAACAGCTATTTTAGTGAAATTTCAGGAAAATTAAATAATAATGATGGCAAATGAACATTTCAGTTGACATTTACTTTTGGTTTCCTAAAGTTAAACTTCAAAAATAAATTACTTTCATTTACTACTAAAGTTTACCTTCTAGCATACCTTTATGTTCAAATAAATCTGTTACATTTACATTTGTCTTTTATTGTTAGTTAGTTTGCATTTGTCATTAGTTTTGCTTATTCTAAGATTTCTCAATTTATTTCCTCATGAATAATTTATAACCATTTTTTCATATTAATCACTTTTATATTCAAAGAAATCTGTTATATTTACAGTTAAATTTATTTTTAAAGTGGTTTATATATTCTCTTGCAAAAGAAACACTTCATATAACACTTTATATTTCTTTATAACTGGTGTAGTTTGCTTTGGATAGCCAAAGCATGTTCTGATAATCTGCAAATATTAGTGGTGTAGTATGGAATGAGTTTTGAAAACATTTGCTTTGTAAAGGTAAGAGAGGCAATATTCACAGTGGTGGTGGGGTCAAAAAGAAAGGTCACACTTCTTAAAAGCAGATGTGTCCTCATCTGGCATTAATCACAGCTTTACAGTTGTACCTCACTGAGTGGATTAGGTTTTAGACTGCAGCTTATGGAAGTTTATTCCAATTATACTGAATTCATTTTCAAGCTGTGGATTTGGCAGTTTAGGACATGACCAGCAAGCAATGCTAAAGGGATAAGGGCATTTGAAATTGCTGGCTATGTACAATGAATTAGAGTGGTTCTGAAAGAGAAATGCAGTTGTTCTAGTGCTTCATGATGGGCTGCACTGCCACGCACAGAAATAAAGTCTTGTCCGTGAGTTTTGTCAGGACACAGTGATGTTGCCCAAGATGGTACCAACTCTGTAATAAAATTCTCTGTTATTCCTTCCTATATGATGAGTTTTGCTGCTACCAAAGTTCAAAGCCTCACCGATGCAGTTATGAACATATCATTCATGTGGATGACTATATTTTTTATTCTGCCATCACATATTTCCACCATGGGTCTCAACTTATCTGAGAACGTGACAGACTGCCATTGACTTCTATGTCTTCAGCTGTGCACATTTGCTCACTGAAGACTCTTCTGGACATAGCATGGCTGAATTCACAGGCATTGTACAGACTCGAATGGATCTATATTTGCTTCCCTTAAATGGCATCAAAACATTGTTCAGAGAAATATGTCTGGTATGTGATGGTGCATATATGTGTCTATTATTTTTTGGGCGGACTGGACAAATGAACTGTGCAAATAAATTGGTCCTGAGTTTGCATGGTCACCTTTGGTCTTTCTGGTTTGAAAGGTCTCTGGTGATGCCAATTACCTGGAAACGTTTCAATCGGTAGACTGTTTAATCAGAAAACATGAAATGCCAATGCAACACTTGAAAGCTTTGTACTAAATAAGAGTATCCAGTGACCTGATTTCTTTATGATTCTGTGAGTCAGAGCCTGCTGGTAGCACAGCAGTTAATTCATACCTGAGGAAGGCAAATTTGGTGCAAGGATCCCATCATCGCACACACACACACAAAAATTAAAAATCCATTTCAAGCTTATTTACAGGTCAGAAATGACAAAATCTCAATTTATGTGATTAAACAATGTGAACATATTCTTTTAGCCGAATTAAAAATTGGTAGTTTTTGGTACCAGCAACTTTAAGTGAAAAAAAATTTTAAATTACATTAAATTTGAGTGAGTTGTTTTGAAAATAATACACTTGTAAAAATCGTAAACTTTCTTTTGCAAGAGAGTATATTACTTTTTATTTTTACTTATTGTTAATTTTTCTAATACTTTCTTCATTATTATTTTAAAATAATTTTATTTTTAATTTTCAATTTTTATTTCTGGTGTTTTATGGTATTCTGCTAAGAATTAAAAAGAAAGAAATAACATGTGCTTTAATAGAAATGTAGCCATTTATTTCCTATACTATAAAAAGTGCATTAAGTAAAAAAGACAATACTTATTTCCTCCAGTCTGACAGACAATAATTTTTAATCAGCTGTGTATATATATATACACACACACACTGACTTTTGTTGCTTTCCACTTTTCAAACACATACATTGTGACTCACACAACTAAAGAACCAGTACGTAGACAACTTCAATATTTTAGGTAATAAATTAATCTTAGGGATTTATGGTGATGCATTATTTTCTTATTCTGTATGAATACTGAATGAGAGAGACAATCAACTTGAGTGGGCTATCAAATGAACATCTGTACAAGGCTGTGACAAGTGCAAGCTCAGATGTTTGTCTGTCAATGCTGTCATTGTGTTAAGCTTCATGGTGCTCACGGCAGCCGCTCAGGTTGCCTGTTGTTCAATTTTGCTGCGTTTCTTGATGAATTCTTGTGCTTTACTGTCCCATGTTCTCTTTTTAAGGACATCCAAGGCACCATGGTCTGCAAGAGATAAAATGGTAGAATGTTAAAATAAATGATTTTATATTCTTCTTATTCTTCTGCATTCAACATGAGACATGCTAAATATATAGTCAATTTTGGGTCACAAACAGAACCATGCTTTAAGACTGTCACCAGTTCTCCACATATTTTTGCATAGCCATTAAATACCATATTTTAAGTTCTATGCTAGGCAGGCTGACATCCTTTCATGCCAATGGTTACAATTTATTTTCAAGACTGGTAGTCTAATAGTCTTAGTTTCAGCTTCATAGCAAACAGGCTACCCCATCTTTGCTCGGCTCTTGTGCCAACAAAACACACGAAATGTTTATCAGTCCCTTGTGCTGTCTCAGCATATCTAGCATACACAAACATTAAAGCATATGGTAGCCATCCGAAGTGCTAACACAAACAGTCCGACATTAGAAATGCAGTTCATCATTGATGGTAGCAGAAGTCACCAACAGATCAGCACTTGCCCATGCGATTGATTTTAATCACATACGGGTACCACCAACATTGCAATGACAGGCCACGCAAAATTTTCTTAATCTACAATTCACACTACCACGTTGGTCACAGTCGAAAAAACATTCCAAATGAAATCCGCAGCTCAGTGTTATGCCATGCATTCAACTAAGAAGCTTGGCGACAAAACTATATCCAGTCTACAAATGGAGCAAAATTGCATCGGCCAATGTTCGGCAGAAGCAAACAATTTGCATCCGCTCCAAACAGTGCCCTGCCTAGAATCCATTTTGACCGGAAGTTCCAATTTTCAAGACTCCACCTCCCATTGCCAGACTGCCTTCTGGGGCTTGCAAGCTCTACCAGCTCATATTTTCTATTAGGTTTTGTTGCCTCAGCCTTCTTGCAGGAACTTCTACAAGGCACCAGTGGTTTAGTAATCAGTGTGTCCTTTACTTACATAAAATACCTTCTGGAGGCGGGAAGTTTTGTTAAATGTGATCAAAACTTGACAAAAAAGTGGTAATATAGTTGCAATTAACATCCAGATTGTTTATGGCATAACAATTGCTGTTAATGAAACAGTAATACAGATATTTAATGTTACAGTTTAAACAACATTTTTTTTACAGCGTATTTATTTATTTACTTTATTATTCCAGTGCATTTAAAAACAAGCAAGAACAGCATTTGTCACTTCATCAAACAGTAACCGTTTACATAACTCTCATTTCTCACTTCATCAAATGCTAACTGTTTACACAAGTTTTATTTCTCACTTCATCAAACAGTAACAGTTTACATAACTCTCATTTCTCATTTCATCAAATGCTAACAGTTTACATAACTCTCATTTCTCACTTCATCAAACAGTAACAGTTTACATAACTTTCATTTCTCACTTCATCAAACAGTAACAGTTTACATAACTTTCATTTCTCACTTCATCAAACAGTAACAGTTTACATAACTCTCATTTCTCACTTCATCAAACAGTAACAGTTTACATAACTCTCATTTCTCACTTTATCAAATGCTAACAGTTTACATAACTCTCATTTCTCACTTCATCAAACAGTAACAGTTTACATAACTCTCATTTCTCACTTCATCAAACAGTAACAGTTTACATAACTCTCATTTCTCACTTCATCAAATGCTAACAGTTTACATAACTCTCATTTCTCACTTCATCAAACAGTAACAGTTTACATAACTCTCATTTCTCACTTCATCAAACAGTAACAGTTTACATAACTCTCATTTCTCACTTCATCAAATGCTAACAGTTTACATAACTCTCATTTCTCACTTTAGCAAACAGTAACAGTTTACATAACTCTCATTTCTAACTTCATCAAACAGTAACAGTTTACATAACTCTCATTTCTCACTTCATCAAATGCTAACAGTTTACATAACTCTCATTTCTCACTTTAGCAAACAGTAACAGTTTACATAACTCTCATTTCTCACTTCATCAAATGCTAACAGTTTACATAACTCTCATTTCTAACTTCATCAAAAAGTAACAGTTTACACAACTCTCATTTCTCACTTTAGCAAACAGTAACAGTTTACATAACTCTTATTTCTCACTTCAGAAAACAGTAATAGATCACACAACTCTCATTTCCCACTTCAGGAAACAGTAATAGTTCACACAACTCTCAGTTCTAACTTCTTCAAATGCTTACAGTCTACACACCTCATTTCTCCCTTCACCAAACAGGACACCCAACTTTATGAAAACTTTCCATTATTTATCAATTCATTAACATAGCAACAGTTCACACAACTCATACTGTTCATACCAAGTTCCCAAATCCAGACAAAGTGTTTTAACCAACCTGAAACTTTAGGCAGTATCAGAGGCAAAGAGGTAATACTAAGAGCATCATATCCAGACACCTCCTCTCCACTGACTCCATGGACGTCTGCGAGAGGAAGGAAGGCTTCTCCTCCAAAATCATTCTGGAAAACTAGGTCATGGTCCATGACAGTGAACACAATAGTTGCTCCCTGATGTGTGCACTGATGGGGTTGTACTGGACTGCAAAAAGGCATTTAAATAATTGTAATATCAAGGAAGTACATTTAAATAATTTAAATATCAAGGAAGTACATTTAAATAATTTAAATATTAATGAAGTACATTTAAATAATTTAAATATCAGGGAAGTAAATTTAAATATCAAGGAAGTACATTTAAATAATTTAAATATCAAGGAAGTACATTTAAATAGTTTAAATTTCAAGGAAGTACATTTAAATAATTTAAATATCAAGGAAGTACATTTAAATAATTTAAATATCAAGGAAATACATTTAAATAATTTACATATCAAGGAAGTACATTTAAATAATTTAAATATCAAGGAAGTACATTTAAATAATTTAAATATCAAGGAAGTACATTTAAATAATTTAAAAATCAAGGAAGTACATTTAAATAATATAAATATCAGGGCTGTACATTTAAAAAATTTAAATACAAGGAAGTAAATTTGAATAATTTAAATATCAAGGAAGTACATTTAAACAATTTAAATATCAGGGCTGTACATTTAAAAAATTTAAATATCAATGAAATAAATTTAAATAATTTAAATATCAGGGAAGTAAATTTAAATATCAAGGAAGTACATTTAAATAATTTAAATATCAAGGAAGTACATTTAAATAATTTAAATTTAAAGGAAGTAAATTTTGAAAATTTAAAAAAAGGGAAGTAAATTTAAAAAATTTAAATATCAAGGAAGTACATTTAAATAATTTAAATATCAAGGAAATACATTTAAATAATTTAAATATCAAGGAAATACATTTAAATAATTTAAATATCAAGGAAGTACATTTAAATAATTTAAAAATCAAGGAAGTACATTTAAATAATTTAAATATAAGGGCTGTACATTCAAAAAATTTAAATATCAGGGAAGTTAATTTGAATAATTTAAATATCAAGGAAGTACATTTAAAAAGATTTAAATATCAGGGCTGTAAAGGCTATACATTTAAATAATTTAAATATTAAGGAAGTAAATTTTAAAAATTTAAATATCAGGGAAGTAAATTTAAATAATTTAAATATCAAGGAAGTACATTTAAATAATTTAAATATCAAGGAAGTACATTTAAATAATTTAAATATCAAGGAAGTACATTTAAGTAATTTAAATATAAAGGAAGTACATTTAAATAATTTAAATATCAAGGAAGTACATTTAAATAATTTAAATATCAGGGCCGTACATTTAAAAAATTTAAATATCAGGGAAGTAAATTTAAATGATTTAAATATCAGGGAAGTAAATTTAAATAATTTAAATATCAAGGAAGTACATTTAAATAATTTAAATATCAGTGCTGTGCATTTAAATAATTTAAATATTAAGGAAGTAAATTTAAATATTAGGGAAGTAAATTTAAATAAGTTAAATATCAAGGAAGTACATTTAAATAATTTAAATATCAAGAAAGTACATTCTGAAAGGCTGACAGAATCTTTGTTTATCTATACACCTTCTTCATGTCATTGCTGACACATAAGAACTTCACAAGTGATAGATTGGTAAATATGAACAAGATGCCAAAGAGCATTTGTACTTATAAATCAACTGGCACTACTATTAAAACAGCCCAACTCAAGTATGAGTATCAATAGACTATAAGAAGTATATTCTTACCAACTCTGTGCCACCAGTGCCACCTTTGGACATCATCAAAAGTTCACTAAATAACATCAAAACCTATGAGATCCCCCTGTAGGTTCTGGGGCCCCATTTTTAGGAAAAAAGAATTATGTTTCCCCACAAGCATGTTGTAAGAGACTGAGCTATGAGTTGGATTATCTTCACAGCACTTCAGACACATCCATAGGTGCTTAGTTTTCCTCTCAACATAATCATCTGTGTTATGTGGTTAATAGTGCCAGTCATTTGCTGTTTGGCAAGACTGTGTGTGTCCCGTGTGCTTCTTATGCTGGGCTGTGCCGATCTTTACTCCCAATTCTCGTAGTCTCAGCAGTGATGTGGACACGTTGCTTCCAAAATCCTCAGAACGTCCTAACTCTCTAAGGGCATTGACAATGTCTGCATGAGCCATAGGCCGGCCATCTTCAATTAATGTGGCCTCTGCCAGTCTATCAGCTCTTTTATTACCAAAAGCACCTGCACACCCTGGGACAAATATGAAGGTAACTGCACACACAGGAGAGTTTTGCAACCTGAGAGTTTTGCAACCAACCTGCCTTGAACCGCTGGATTATACCCAAAGAATCACTCAGCACACACACGTGGAAATAGTCCTGTGATTCTAGCCACATGAAAGCTTGTGTCACCGCCATCACCTCCATCGTCATGCTGCTGGTAGTCATGGAGAAGGCACCGCTGGCTTCTTGAACTGCCTGCCTGAAGAGCGAGCTGTAAATTCCCATGCACTCTTATGTCCTCGTATAACGGACCCGTCTGTGAAGATCAGCACATCTGTCTCATCTGACTTGTCACTGATAAGCACGCATACCTCGGCATTGACAGCAGCTGGATTCTGCTCCCAACAACTCCCATCAAGCATCAAGACACAGGAGAGGAGAAAGTGAAACTGGGCGCTTTAGGTACTGGTATCAATTCCTCACCTGGATGGATGTCTGTGAGGCTGCAGACCTGCATGATGTCATCTTCTGCCCTACCCAGCCATGATTTTCCATTTCAAGTCTATTGCCTTTTTTCCTGAAAAGCATTTGTTGCAAATGGTGCTTCAGATCTGAGCTTATTTTGAGGCATGCATGAGCAATCCAGATTTTGATCCTGTAGTTTGTGGTAGGGAGGTCAAGAAGATACCTCACCTCTACACTAGAGGTGTCTCCAGTGCACCCCAGAATAATGCACATTGCTTCTATTGCACCTTCTCAAGTCTTTCAATCTGAGTATGGCTTACAGTGAGGATAGCTAGAGCATATTCGATGGGAGAAAGTACCAGTCCCTGGAACAGAAGCAAAAGCAGTCAGTATTAGCGGCAGCTAGGACCCTCATTGCTGACAGGCTTTTGTGTGCTTTTGTTTTAACATGGTCAACATGTTCTTTGAAGGACAGGCTGCAATAAAACCTCACTCTGAGGTATGTCATCAGATTTGTTCTAATCGAAATTTCTTCACTGCTTTCCACTGCTGCCTTCACTATATGCATGTTCAAGGAGAACCATGTTACTGGGGCCTTCGAAGGGTTGCCATGTGCATTAGAATCTACACACCAGGAGGAGATGTGATCAAGTTCACTCTGCACTGAATTGGCAATCTCTTGATGTCTCTTCCATGTCAATATACCAAGATGTCATCAGCAGATGACAAGGTCCTGCCACTCCTGTGCAACTGCTGCTCAGTTACCAGCATTGTCACACACTGAATAGAACTGGAGAAAGAGAACCTTGAGGCAATCCTGGACTGATGGTTATCGGTTCTGAGGACCAACAACCACGCCTAAGTATCACCCGTCTCTGAAACAGTGCTGTGGCTACCCAGCGGGCGATGAAGTGAGATACTTGTATTTGGAGAAGTCTGTGCACGAAGTATTCAAATAGCACTCTGTTGTACGCATCCTCTAAGTCTAGTGCGGCTGCATATGTCTCTTCTCTCATCTGAAAACCTTCATAGACTTCACAGGTAAAAACTGCTGCATTGGGCCATATCTCTTTGCTTTGTTTGTATCGTCTAAGTGTGGATGGTAACCAGTCATGCTTTTCCAAGTCATCAGTTTACATGCTTCAATTTTCTTCAGAAGCTTGGATGTAGTGTTCTGCATATAAGAAAAGCACCTATTCTCTTTCTTAAGGACTGAGAGATAGTCCACGACTCACATCCGTATGTAGCCACAGGGAAGATGCATGCTCTCAAAATTCTAATTTTTATCTCCTTGCTGGTGCTTAACCATAGACTTTTAAGGCTGTTCAATCTTTGCATTGCTATGGCCATCCTCCTTTTAATTTCTGTCGAACAGTCTCCATTGTTGTTTATTATAGAGCCTAGAAATTCGAAGTTTGTGACATTTTCAATTTCTTCATTCTGGACACGGAGTCAAAATCATAGTTTTAAGAAATAAAATGTATTAACAACATTTTATTAAGATGGAATAATAAATATTGTCTTCAATATGATTTCCATAATCTGCGATGTAAAGGTTGATGCACTTTGCAAATTTCACATGAACAAAATGTAATAAATCCACAAAGCCATAATTTTAGCACATTCACTATTTATTTGCTAGGGGTCCAGATTTCAGTGTACATTAAGGAGCAGAAATATGAATGATTTTCGTCCTCTTGTTAAAAGACAGCCACAACAAATATTAATTCAGGAGCTACTCCAAAAATTTGTTATCTATTCTTTAGAGTTTATAAGGCAAACTGAGTGAGGGTTTATGATGCATGGACAACAAATGGTCTCTACAGTACTGCTTAGTTTTTGTGCTATGGAGAGAAGGAATCCCCAAAAAATATTGTCTATTGAGAATTACAGATAGGTAGAAAATGTCAAGTACGACTTCTAATGCAATATAAAAAGTGCCAATAAGGGACATAAATGAAACAGGTATTGAGGTGTATTTGGGGAGAACAAAATGCCATAGACCACAGTGCGTGAAAGGGGCAAATCTGGAATGGAGTGAGAATGCAGTAAATGAGTGCAGAAAGTGTGTGAGCTGAGTGTCTGAGAAGAAACACTAAATATAGATGATGGCAGCAGTGGTCCTGCAATCCCATGATAAAATTGTGGAAGATTTTTCTTTACTCAGGTGGGTCTTGCTAGTTACACTCCCCAATTCCATGGGCTGTGAATCTCATACCTGCCCATAGTACATTATAACACTATTGTCTGGAAAAATGGAAAGGTGCCAACAACCTTAAAAAAAATACACAGAGCATAATTATTATGTGAACGTCCACAAAAAATTATTTGCATACCCTTATTGTAGAATACAATAAAGAGTATCATATTACTGAATTTGAAAGAATAACAGACACAATCTATAATAATACAACTATTTTCAAAAGTACAAGAAGATTTGCCTTTTGGAAAGAACTGATTAGTATACTTACAATTCAAATGACTCATCAAAAACTGGGTTGAGAGTTTTCTTCACAATTTTGGTACTTTGAGTGGTCAGTCCAGGAAACACATGTTCAGGTGCCAGTGAGATTAAAACATATGGATCACTGAGACCTGAAAAATAATGTTTTTGAGCTTAACGAAGCAATATAAGTGGATGAACAACCAGAGCTTTTCACTGAAGTTTACAGCCATTGAACGCTCATCATCATCATATAGCAGGTCCTTTGCTGAACATCGCTCTCATCACAGTCTGCCTGAGAGAAACTCAGTCTCTCACCAGCTCTTCCCCCTCATGCACTTTCATACTCAAGGAGTCACTTATATCCTGTGCCCATCTTCGTGTCGGTTGGCCCCTGCCCCTCCTTTCTGGTACCATGCTTTCTGCTATAATTTTTTCCAATCCGTCGTGGCGCTCGGTATGACCAAATTATTTCAGCTTCCATTAAAGGCTAAGAAGAAGAAGAAGAATTTGCAATATTAAAAAACACGTAAAGGACTCATCTTACACCAGGGCTATCCACTGGCAGTCCGTGGGTTGAATCTGACCTGCAGAGGCCTGTTAAGTGGCGCAACAGATCATTGCAGTTTGATTGTAAGAATGATCTTTCTATGCTGAGCCTTGGGTCTCTAGCTCATGACCATAGCATGACCATTTTTAGCATTTTTGTCCCTCAGAAAACATAGTTGAACAGCCCAATCTTAAACCATTGGCTCATCGGGCACATGGTGCTAGACAAATATTTGTAAGACCTACAGCATTCAGTTGTATGCACACCCACATCTCTATCATCACACTAGGCACCCCACCCCCTCCCCACTCTTTTCCAAAACATGTTGCTCTTTGAAGGCCACAGATGCATGCATACACTGTGTTGCTCAGTTCATGAGTGCTATATTTATGGAGATTCCTGGGATGTGCTTACTAGAGCTTTGGAATTAGTGCTTTGTGCAAGGTTATTAGAAGACTGCTAGATGTTCTGCCTTGTTGTGTGAAACCTAGTGCTATGAAGTCGATTCTTTCTGCTTTAAACCTTTAGGATGACTGTTGATGGCTGCCATTGTTGGGAAAGATCTGGTTCTGAAAATTACTCAGACCCATCCTTCTGGTGTTACAAGTCAAACATCATATCTAATGAAAATCATGGTATTAGTTTACTACAATATCATATCATTTTATGTATGCAGTATGACAGAGTTCCTAATATATTAATATATATAAATTTGTGTGTGTGTACACACACACAAGCGGCTTTAGGCGTTGCGAGTCCGACTCGTAAGCCAGCGTACCCCTATCGAAACCCACTGCCGAATGCGTGGATTTTCATCATGGTACGGGGCGTCGCAGGTCGACCCAGCCTAAATTGGGTACCAGATTGGGCTGTCCTGGGAAAGTAAAGACAGCAGGCGTAATGCTGACCACATTACCCACCGAGTGCTGATGGTCTGTAAAAATATGGGACGCTCTTCCCATATGCTCGATATGCCTAAAGGCGTGGAAAGGGTTCTTTACTTTTGTCGCGGCGTCCATGGCTAAGGCGTTGCAAGTCCGACTCGTAATCCAACGTACTGCGATCGAAACACACTGCGGGCTGCGTGGATTTTTATCATGGTATGGGACGTCGCAGGTCGACCCAGCCTCAAATGGGTACCAGGATGGCTGTCCTGAGGAAGTAAAGACGGCCGACGTAATGCTGACCACATTACCCATCTAGTGCTGATTGGTCTGTAAAAATATAGGACGCTCTGCCCATATACCCGATGCGCCTTAGGCGTAATAAGGGATCTACACACACACAATCAATACTTACTTACCATTAGCATCTAGTGGAATTAGGTCTTTGGCATGTCTATATATATGCACACACACACACACATGCACGCACACACACATGCACGCACGCACACAATATCTATTCATATTTACTTACCATTAGCATCAAGTGGAATTAGGTCTTTGGCATTTAGAACTGAAAAAAAATTGTGTAGATTAGGATAAATATGAGAACAAAGATAAAGTGAAACATCTGCAAGTATAGTTCATAAATAAATGACCATTCAATTATAAATATTTAACTAATAGCTCAATAGGGTGACCATATTGTCCAACTTTTGCTGAAACAGTATAGTTTTTTTTTTTAAATTAGGACCAGACCATTGCGAGGATACTCCCTTATCTAATGTAAACTGGGACTTTACACTTTTGTTGTATTTTGAATATCAATGCCATGGTCTGGGCCTTCTTAAAAGATAGTTTTCTTCCTGGCAAAAACAGGACAATATGGTCACCTATAGCTAAATAGTCCTCGGAAAAGATGGAGTGATGGCATTAAGAACAGCCTTACAGAAATGAACATCAGTCTTAATAGTGCTCTTGACAGAGCTCATCAACGAACATTACATCTCCCCCCGACACTTCGATGAGGTACAAGGTGGAAGAGAAATAGAAGAAGAAGAAGAATAGCTAAATAAATACAATGTCTCATTACAAGCAAGGTGTGTGCATGTATACATTTTAAAAAAAAGTAGTTTTTAGTGATTTTTTTGTTGTTGCAGTGAAAATAATAGGGTAGTCCTTATGGTAAATAAATACACAGGGCCGGTTATCACACACTGAAGTGGAATGTGTATATAGCAAGTCAGGTATAGTAAAAGAGCTAAATTCCACATCCTGAGCATCAGTGTACAGTTGCATAGTAAAGTCACCATCTGCACACTAGGTTCCACCCATTAAAAAACGATATATAAAATTTATGATTTTAAAATGTGAAATTATGTAATTAAAAGGAGCATTTTAGGTAATGTTATGAGATCACTTTAGAATTTAGAGAGTATCATTACCAATAAGGCAAGCTTTATATCTAAAAATAAAAGATACATAGAAAGAGGTGGGTAAAAGGGTGGGGGGGGGGGGGGGGTGGTTTTATAGGAAGAGGGAACTTGAGAGAGAATGTCTTTAAAAAAAGGGAATAAATCCAAGACTGAAAAATATGATGGGGGTGTGGAGGGGGAAAGAAAGAGAGAGAGAGAGAGAGAGAGAGAGAGAGAGAGAGAGAGAGAGAGAGAGAGAGAGAGAGAGAGAGAGAGAGAGAGAGAGAGAGAGAGAGAGAGAGAAACAGACAGAGAGACAGAGAGAGATAGAAGTGGAAAACAAGAGAGAGAGAGAAAGACCAATAAAGATTGAGAAAAGAAGGAGAAAGACTAAAAATACATACAGTGAAAGAAAGAGTAACAAAAAAGAGATAGAGAAACGTATTCCTGAAAGCAACATAATGTATACCATATTTAAAAAAAATAACCTAATGGTAACACACTATTAAGAGGCAGATTAATTAAGGCATAAAATATAATGAAAATCTAAATTTACACACAGATGTTTCAAAGTGTTCCTAAACTTTTTCACACCTATGGGTGTGACAAAAGAAAGGGCATTGTTTTGCCTGAGAACTAGCATGAAACCTGGTCCAATAAACAATCAACTAGAAAATTCAGTTGAGTCCCTGGAAGTGTGGGCATACAGAAAGCAAAAACATGGAAGCAAAAACAGTCCAATACAGAGGCTCTGGAAACACTACAAATGAAATGAATATTACTGAAATTAGTAAAAGAGAGACAACTGAAATCCTTTGGCATATATAAGACACAATACGTTTTTAAAAACCATACTGGAGGAAAAGGTCGAAGACAAGAGAGCAAGAAGTGGGCAACAATACAAGTGGGAGGACAACATCATGAGATGGATGGGCAGCAGTCTGAGAGAATGTACAACCAGGACAAGAGACAGGGCATGTTGGAGATCCATTGCAGCCATCCTTCACTGTGGAGATGACACCTGATTGATTGATTGAACAACAGCAAACAAATGAAGACAACAGTTTATTTGTTTAATTCAATGTTAGCCCGGCTCTCTAGCGTAGTTGGCTAAACCGGATTGCGCGCAGACCGGGTGACGAACTCCTTGTGGTCCGGGTTCAATCCCAGAGGTAGGCAGGAAAGCCGCATTTTCTCCCAGATTTATGGTATTTACAATGGAATCAAGACCGAAAGATTGTGATATCCATAATACCGAGCCTAAGTGTTAACAACTCATGGCTTCTGGATACTAAAACAAACAATTCAATGTTACAATGTCATAAACATACAACTGTCAGCTAATATGACATGTGTTGCTGCTTAGAGGTTAGAAAATGTCATGTATCAATGTAGTGCCAGAATCAAGTTAGTATGATTAGACACATATTTTTTTGCTGACCCTGGGGACATTTCCATCGGCTGAAGAACACTGTTTTAAAGGACACTTAAGTTCATTTGGATAGAGTTACTCTGAAAGATCTTACCTTCCACCAACAGTGTATGATAATCATATTTGTATACAACACGAACATTGAGAACCCCATATTCTGTACTTTCAGTGTGAGCCTGTGAAAACACAAAAGAATTTCATTGTCTTAAAATCCCTTTAATTATTTCTTTAATATTTGTGTAATTCTGCATGCAATATATGTAACAATTTATATTGACATCTGTATGGACTTTTATGTTTTTTTTGGTAAGCAACTTGGAATGTAAACAGAACTAGTAAAAAAATAAAGTAAAAGACCCTTTTCCATGCCATTAAGCATATTGGTCATAAAGGACTAGATCAATATTTTTTTTTTTACAGATCAATCGACACTTGATGGGTGATGTGTTCAGCATCATGCTGGCCACATTTTTACTCCAGGACTGCAACTAGTACCGATTCAAGGTAAACACAACTACCAGAAAAGAAAAAGCCTGTTGACGAACTAGGCAATCAGTAAATTCTAAAAATCTGTCAATGATAACCAACTGTTCTATGGTTATTACTGTGAAAAAATGACAGTAAAGTAGTCCATTACATCAAAGTAATAAAAAGTCATATTACTCATTTAGTTCCTTAAACTTTGAAAAAGATCCCTTTTATATATTTTTAACATATGGTATTAGTTTCATATTCTGAGACAAATCAGCATGTCTATACTTTGTGTTGAGTTTCACCATATATAGGTCTTTAACCTCATTTTTAGTGCAGAAAAAAATGGACCCACTGAAATCCTTCTTAGCAAACATGCCATTAAAAGGCAGCTAATTAGCGGTCTCCCATATCAAGATGGACCTCCCATGTGAAAATAGACCTCCCATATGAAGTTAGAGCTCCCATATGAAGTCTGAGTGCATCTGCCTGAGAGGTGGGGAAACAACAGTCTGCATTCAAATAAGCTTGACCTATAAATTAGTTTAATATCAAGGCTCTAATGGCACATATTAAAATGTTATTTCTAAATTATACTGTTTTAGCACATTTAATTTATTTGTTTTTTGTACCAACTGTTATGTAAGCATTTTCCACGTTTCGACATGATATTGTTTGTTATATTGTGCTTAGAGAGGCATGGGAAGCATCTACTATGGTGATGGCAACTATTACTTGCAAGACCAGCTCCTGTTAAGAAAAGTCCGTCACGGTAAAAGCATGGGGTTTTAGGTCTACTGTTACCATCCCATGTATTTAACATATTTCTTCTTTGATGCCCAGCTCACAACCTATCTACAGACATTTCTGCTGTATCCCTATCCCTTCTTGATTTACCCCTTCAATGCAACACTTTCCATGACATCTCGTCCCCATGATTAAACCTCAGTACATCTATCATTCATATCCCGCTTGTACCAATACTGCATTCCCTATAACCTACCTGCTGTTCATTTTTCTCCATGTAAAAGGCTTCAATAAGGGACAGGGTGTCCATTTTGTGTAGTGTTAATTCCTTGCGGAGATTCTGAAAAGCAGAAATTAATAGATATATTGAATGGTAACATGTATTCAAACATATTTTTAAAACTCTCTTCAACCTCACCATTATTATTATTATTATTATTACAGTGTTCAGTAAAATATTGTTACAAAATATCATCTCTTTAAATGTTTTTATATATATTGGTTTGTCATATACTGTTGATAAAAACTATGTTTCAGTTTTGTACCAGAACATGTACTTATAAGAAAAATCAAACAAGGCAGGTTCAGTGCGAAGACAATGGCTTGAATCACTTCAGAAGTCCACTGTGCATGAAGTCAACTTTATTTTTGTTCCGGGACACGCAGGCGTCGATGGAAATGAAAGAGCTGACAGTTTGGCTGGATCCGCTATCACTACTGACGGTCGGCCTATGGATCATGCTGATATTATCAATGCCCTCAGAGAAATGGGAAGGATAGAGGACTTTGGTGGCAGTGAATCCACATCACTCGTCAGAATGGCAGACTTGGGAATTAAGATCGGCACAGCAAAAAACGAGACGCACACCGGACACGTCAGAAGACTTGTTAATCAACATAGAACTGGTACTATTAGCCATCGGACGTTGGGGTTTATACTGAGGGGAGGATCTGAGCACCTATGGACATGTCCGGAGTGCAATGATGATAACCCAACTAACTAACTAACTAACTAACTAAATCAAACAAGCTTGCAGACTTGGCCACTGTGGCTAGCAGATGAACAATCGGTACAAAATCACAATGGTTGCTTTTACTTTCCAGGAGTTTTTCTGGTACTAAGTTTAGGTCAAGTATGCTTGGTAGCCCTAGGTCAATTAACAAAAAAAATCGACTTACCAGGAGCTTCAAATAAATACCTTAAAAGTGTGATAGCAACTGTGGACAATAATCATCTCTGGGATCAGTACTTGCTGCTTGACCCTGTCCTGAACAGTCTATCACAGAAGTCATGATGTTTGGAGACTTCCTACTCCAATGATACACTTGCTGGAATGTCAGGAATGCATCACCATCCTTGACTTTTATTTGCCAATGAATGTCTATAGGTTTCACCCCTTCACTGTTCAAAAACCAGATAGAAGAATTCTGCTTCTCTTGGGTGCACATAAAAAATGGGGTGGCCATCTTTTAACTGTCATTTAAGCCTTTTAGTTGGAGGTTTATTTGGAGTTCAGTGCCAAGAAGATGGAGCCCTCAGCCAAAGATTCTCCTAATTTACACACACACAAAATTACCCCCCCCCCCCCCCCCCCCCCCCTTTTCCCAAACAAACATTTTTTATTTTAAAATTAACATATACAAAACTGTATATTTTCTTTTTTAGGAAATTGAAAGAATTAACACAATCTTTGTAAATCACGCTGACATTCTTTGACATCTCATTTATTATAATTAGCTATGCTGATCTGCATTTTTATTTTTACTTTGGGCAAGCATGACTAAATTTAACTCTTCGAGTCCCAGGGGGTTTAGCATCACAGATCCAGGGGGTAGTAAAGAGAGTCATATAATTCACTGGGCTTCTAGGTAGGAACCTATGAACGTACGATGCGTTCCTTGGGACTCAAAGAGTTAACAATGTGGGTAAATTTTCTGATGAATGAAGCCTGAAAAAGTCCTAACACTTGTGTTTTGGGAAACAAGGACCATGGAGACACCTCTTTAGACACCTCTGGCTTGTGGTTCCTCTTCTTTTTCTGCCTCCTGCTATATTTTGGTTGCTATGAGGCAACAGTCTTTTTCACTTTAGGATGTTACATGATTTAAAATTACAGATTACAACAAACTTTCATGAAAAGTGTCGGTGAACAGCCCACATGTGCAAGAAATGTGAGTAGCCATCTGGCTGGCTGGTATGAAGACCAGCCATCAATCTAAAGTCTTATATTACCACGCTGACAGATTTGCTCAGCTTTTTTTTTCCCGGCTCTGTCTTTTTGAGCTATTTTGCTGTTGGGCCGATAGACTGGCCCTGTCATCCCCAAAAGGCTAAAAACAATACTTTCAGGCCAGCAGGGAAAAACCTAGACACTTCACAACTGTAAAGAAGCAAATAAAATATTCTTTGATCTTATGATGAGTGAGAAAATGTCAGATAGAAAGATCAGCAGCAAAAGAGGTTAGACCTAGATAAATTATACTACACAGTCTAAAGCGGCGTCCGTGGCTAAGGCGTTGCGAGTCCGACTCGTAATCCAATGTACCGCGATCGAAACCCACTGCGGGCTGCGGGAATTTTTATCATGGTATGGGACGTCGCAGGTCGACCCAGCCTCAAATGGGTACCAGGATGGGCTGTCCTGGGAAAGTAAAGACAGCCGGCGTAATGCTGACCACATTACCCACCGAGTGCTGATGGTCTGTAAAAATATGGGCGCTTTTCCCATATGCCCGATACGCCTAAAGGCGTGAAAGGGATCTTTACTTTACTTTACTTACACAGTCTAAAACGATAGCATGGAAAAATGTCATCAACATAACTGTTATGATCACCAAAACTCAAGTTCTTTGGAGAGGCATATGTTGGCTACCCCATTTGATAAGTCACTTGATGAGGGTGATAATGATGAAAAAAACATTCATGCTGACTTTATTTTTCTGCCGCTTATAACATGATATTTGTGTATGTAAGACGCCTTGGTCATCCACTGCACCTAAGTCCATTTCCAATCATCTCTATATTGTCCTGCCATTGGATTAAGAAGGACACTGGCGAGAGAGTTAGATCGACGAACTGCAAAACTCTTCCTCACTTAAATCCAAATCCTTGCACAAGTCACTTTCATCCAGTTATTGATCATTGCTACTTTGGATGAAAAGTGGTCCTTATCACTCGTGATGGATGAACAACAAATTACAATTATATGTATGCCTATTTTAAACAAAAAAATAAGTTATAAAGAATAAACTGAAAAAAATGAGCAAAATAAAGATGAAATTATAACCTCAAATGGTTCAATGAGTATAGCCTCCATTTCCAATCCATTTCCATTGGCATAGAGGAAGTCAACCAGCAAACTCAAGGCTTGAAACATACGTTGGTAAAACACTGGTGGGCGCTGAAAAATATCCACTGTATATTAACTATCTCCAAGAAACTAGTGAACAGTATGTACAGTATAACATATAATTAGTTTTCTAAATAAAATTTCTTCATATGGGTTCTATGGCCCATATTTTATTATACTGGGGGGAAAAAAGGTGGGGGGGGGGGGCAGACCTACTGTTTTGTAACAAGCATGTCATAAAAAGTGACTAATTAAGAATTTACTAAAACCAGATGTGTTGGACTGAAGGGTACAGATATGGCAGCCTATCTGTACACCACAACACAGCATGCTAACCTCTCTTTTAAGGGTGACAACAGAAAAAGAAGATAACAACAAATGAGATCAGAGATGTTCAGCCTTGTTGAAGTAATGAAACCCTAAACAAGTCACACAATTCTCAGGGAGCTGTATGTTTAAGAGAGAACTTTATGTGAAAAGAAAAGTTTACATTGTGTTAAAGACTAAAAATATCAAAGTTAATCATTACTAGAACTAAAATCCATATATAGAAAGGTGAAGAATACCCATGCCAAATTTGAAGAAGTTTTCCATAAAGATAAAATTAGGAGAATAATCAATGAGTACACACTAAGAAAACAATATATCCACCATGTTAATGACACAAAGTTAGCAAGACTGTCTAATTATTCATATTACATTTTCTATCATAATCTCAACCCAAAGAAAAATGTGAAACATTACAAATTACATATTGATAATAAAAACAATTAGTTGATATATAATATAAAATAACAAATATATACTCTAAAAAATAAATTATCACCATATATCCCAATTATAACCCTAAGGGTTAAACATGATATTTTTGAAAAACTACTACTTCATTGTTTATTGTTTAGCAGTGCTGAGAATATATTTCAAATAATTTGTTCACATTGAACTATTGTAAAATTGGTAAGTATTTTGAAAACAAACTATAGAAATAATTTTGCAGAAATCCTACAAACAGGCTTTAGTCGCAGGAACTGTTCTCGCTGAAACAAATGTGGCATGATTTCAGTTGCAGGAGAATAATTTATAATTTATTTCTGTTTTGTGATCCTCACTAAAGAAATTCCCTTTAAATGTAGACACCATACTGTTAATTCATTGTAACTGAGCCATTTCTTCATCTACAATTTAAATGGACAGTTGACACCTAGTAGTCTACAGCTAGTCTGCAATATATTTTCCCATTATGACCCAAATTTCTGATTTCAGCAAAACCTTAATTAGTCACCTATTAATAAAATGTTTGTTAAGGAAGAATTGATTGATTCTTTCTTTCTCACAAATGGGCACCAGAACCCACAGGGGGACTGAGCCATCAAGGCAGCACAGATCAGACACCGGAGTCTTAATCAGCTCTCTGGGGCGTAGGCTTATTAACAGAGCAGATTCAGTCTGGGTCATATTTCTAGGATCGCCATACATTTCTGCAAATGTGAGGCTCAATTAATGGTTTTGCATAACATGCTCTTACGAGAAGAAGGAAATGAGATCTCTGCATTAGTTTCCTTAGGGATGATATTTTAGTACTAGTTGACAGAAAATAGTTTTCCTCAGACTTGCACCAATAGATGTAAGCCTTTTTTTTTAATGATTCGCACTATATAAATGTCCGTGAGCGAATTTGACCATGGAGTTAGAACATAACCTTCCAGTGATTTCATTCATATCAGCCAACCAGATATTTATTCATTCTGAGTGAACAGACCTTTATCATAAATATTAATCAAACTGTCACCTAGATTTTGTAACTAACAGTTATATATCTGTTAATGTTTAATTCCATCTAAAAATTAACTACTCAATCCTATTTAGCCTCCTATTTAACAAGCACCTAAAGTAGATGTAAGATCTGTTTGTAGAATATTATGGGAAGACAATAGCTGAGCTATTATAAAAGTAAATGTTTATTTACTCGCTCTAATACAACTTACCTTATAATAGAGCATCACAGATGTAGTGTTTGAGAAGAATGTAAAGAATGTCATGAGATTATAGAAAAACCAGTTCTCTTTAATATAGAAGAAGGTCATAAACTGATTAAAAAAATTCAATGTAGACAGTTGGTGTTGTCTTACACATATTATGAGAAGAATGGGCTCCAAAACTTGGTAACAGCTGGTAGATAGATTGAAAGTGAGCAAGGAGAAGGCAAAGAGATAAATACCTGGATGGCTTGGCCCTATGCAGGGAGCAAGACAAGAGCACTGACCTGATCAGTAATTCTGGTGATTGTGGGATATGCTGAAACATGACCGCCTACACTTACTGTCAAGGCACATGATGATGTTGAGTACAACTTTGTGAAGTCTGGTAAAGGACGTACAACTAACTAACAATACAACTAGATACCTGAGAGTATATAATACATTTACCATCTCTTCTGTATCCAAGACCTCTCTGAACTCCTCCAGTACCTCCACCCAAATAGAAGACAGGATTCTGTCAAAGTTGGTTTTTAACAGGCAACTGTTTAGGGTGAGCAAGTTACTGTCAAGGTACTCCAACAAATCTCCTACAGCCTAGGTTTAACAAATAAATGTGAACATTATGTGAGTACATTTCATAGTCTTATTATGTTTGCAGTAAAAGGACCATACTTAATAAAGGCTCCAAAAGTATCTAGTTTTTATCAAAATGTATCTTACTGAACTATATTTTCTGAAAGTTTACAATAAGGGACATTTTCTTTATAGTACAAAAATACAGACAGGTCCAAATCATAATTACACTGGACAAAACCTGATTACAATTTTTTTTAAAAGATAAAATCCATCAGAATAACATGACAAGATCAAAACAGATGTACAAATGTGTGTCTTCAGTATAGTGAAAATAGTACACAGTTGTAAAACATTCTCAAACTGATTAAACCATATGCATTTTAAAATCTAACATGTGAGTTCTGACCTCTTCTGCAGGCAATGACTCAGGAGCCCAGTTCAAGTGGAAGACATCTTTCTTTATGTCAGGCCTCATCTGTCAAGAAAGTAAGAGTGGTTCTTATGAAAAACTCAAGAAAGTAAGAGTTCTTCTTAGGAAAAACTATTTAAAAAAAAAAATTAAAAGTAAACAAAACAAAACCCCCAATAAAATGTTTTTTTAACCTCATCTCAGCCACATATCTGTCTGCCTGTTCCTTTTGCAACACAGCTGCATTTCACTGAGAAGATATTCAAAGGATACTAACTACTGGGAACCCACAACCCAAGATTTATGACTGTTTTATATTTCCATGCAACTCTGGGTGGTGAACTGATACATGACATGCTAGATATAGTGAAAGCAGAATTGCAACAACAACAAAATCAATAAAAATCATTACAGCATGGAGAGAATGGTCCAGCAAGGAGAGACCAGGAGATCTAGCTGACAGTCTACACTAAGAGAAAGGCAACACGGGCATGTAATCAAGCTGCTACTGGTACCATCAACACTGGAACTCTTTACTGGCTGCTGAAGATGATAGAGTGAGTATGGGAATGTTCTGAGTGCTGGGATGTGGGTTCTTAACTCAACTCAACTTATATTTCCATTTATTCTTTTGTTAATATCTGCTTATGCCCCTAGGCGTCACAATTCATCAGACGATTGGAAGCTGAGCCAGGGCGCGCTCAGTCGCTTGATATGCCGTGATGTTATGCAGTCTCAAGGTGTCAGTGACTCCTTCAATCTTTATTCTTCTCAGTCTTCCCCTGACTCTTGATGTTTTGATTTTCAGGTTGTGAGCTCTTGCTGCTGGCATTGTTGGTTTCATTCTCATTAGATGGCCAATCCATTTCACTCTTTGTTTTTCAATAAATTTGATGATGGCTGTTGTTCCAACAGTTCTTGTGATAACATTGTTTCTCACTCGATCTCTTCTGGTTTTATTCACAGTCATTCTGAAACATCTCATCTCACAAGTAGTTTTCTGTCTTGTTCTTTTGTCAATGTCCAAGTCTGACACTGATAACCTAAAGTCAGTAGAAATATTATATTTATAATTTGTCTTTTTGTTTCTATTGGGATAGCTGGGTGTTTTAAAATTGGAGCAAGTTGGTATGTGACACTGTTGGCTTGTTGGGTTCTCTGTTTTATCTCTCTGTCTATTTTACCACTATTTCCATAACCTGTATATCTGTCATAAAGCACAGATGACATCCATAAAAAAAAAAAAAAAAAAGCAAAATATGAAAAACTAAAATAAGAGTGTGACATGTCACAAAAATACAACTAAAAGTTAGGAAAAAAATTATTATTTTTTAAAGGGAATGGATAAAATGAATCAGCACTCAGGCAGGTTTATAAAATATAAGAGCTACAACAGCTTTACAAGTGTGAGAGGATAATTTTCACTGCACCTAGTTTTATTCTGTCTAGCTTAATTTCTTTCAACAGAGCAGTTCATGATTCATGGAAAGCATTGCACACAACAAAAACTCTTGTATGAGTTTGAGTATAAGTGCACATTCACAAAAGATGGCAAATAGGATAAAGAAATTACCATCTGAAACAGTTATGGAAACAAAGTATAGGGACAACTAACCACCCACTTATGCATAAGACAGTCCCAGTCAGGGGAAAAAGAAAGGAACATCTCATACAAAGCATATTTATCCTGACCATATGTTGTCATTCACAATAGATTTTAAAAATGTAATTAGTAACATGGAAATAAGATTCTGAGAAAGACTGCAGGAGCGACCAGAAGAGAGATATAATCAAGAATGAAATCACAACAGAAAAATACTGGACAGAGCCAATACTAAAATACAAAGACTACAAATCAAATGGTTTGCCCACTAGGAAACAATGACTTGTGATGGCATACAATACAAGGCATACACCCAAAGAGGAGAGGAATGTAGAGAATGAGGTAGCCTAAAAACAAGATGAAAAGATAATATCAGTTAAACTCTGCAATAGTACACTGTGTCTATGGTTAGGGCAGCCAGAAGAGCAAAAGCAGAACCTTATTTCTTTCTTGACACCTGAAATGGTAGAAAATGAAGAAAAGAAGAACAAGAGAAGAAAATGTATAGTTCTGCCAACAAAACCTGGGGATCTCCCAAGCACTTGCATTTGTGAACCAAAGGATAGAGTTCAAAACTGAACCTACAATCTTCACAGAATATGATGAATACCTAAACCAATCAGCCATGTAGATCCCATGCTATAACAGGTATGTCTGCTAAAAGATGAACTAATCAGAATGTAATGAGGAAAAGCTGGTAAAATAGTTAAGAATCCCAGACTTTTTATGAGTGAGACCCTGGTTCAATTACCCAGTAAAGTTATGAGCTTTTCTGTTGGCGGCTGAAAAAAAATAATAACCTGCACAATCCATGGTAATATCATCATCATCAATTCTCTTTATGCCTCTCTTTATGTTCATGAGGCTTTAGAGAGGACTTTAAATGCTTTCCTGTCGTGTGCAATCTTCAGTGCAGTTTCCCAAGTCAAAGATGCCACACTCAGGTCACTTTCTATCATTTGTCTCCATGTTGTTTTTGGGTGCCCCTTTTTTCTCTTTCCCTCTGGTATCCATGTAAGAGCTGTTTTGGCAAGTATATCAGGATTCATTTTCTTAATGTGGCCAAGCCATTTCCATCTTCTCTTGGTTATCACACTGTCTAGAGTTTCTTGGTTTGTGACTTGAAGTAGTTTAGTGTTCCATGGTTACAACAAGTGGCCCTAGATTCTCAAGCTCAAGGAACCACCTGTCTGTACTGCAAAAAGGAGGAAGGGGTGGGGGGGGGGGGGGAGACTGGCATTAATGACATGACAGTTTTAATGACAATATTTTTCAAATCTAACCTTATCAGCAACTCTGTCTACTACTTGCAGAATTTTCTTAATCATCTCATCGTCTGCTTGTTTAATGATGCCTTGTAGAGATGCTTTTCCCAAGAGACCAGTCATCAACTCTTTGGGAGGATGAGGGTCATCTCTGGCCAGTTCTACCGCTTGCTGAATCTCACTGAAATCTAGCAGGGTGGGCAAAGGCTTCAAGGATCGACGGACTTGCTCAATGTTGTTGATAGTGATACACAGCTGAGAAAGATGGTACACTTTTATCAAAAATGTAGCTATAAACTCATCTAATATTGTCTTCTTCTTCTGCGTCACCCTTCATATGGTGGTTGGTATGCTGTGTTGTTTACAGCTAGGCTGTGATATCTGTCTAACACATCCAAATCTAGCAAACCCCTAATTAGTGGCCTTGGATGACATGCTTGGGTGGGTTGGGGAGGGGGGGGAGGTTTATCCCCACCCCACCCCACACACTCACAAATAGGGTCTACAGTGAGATATCTCAAATTATTTTCCAACATAAATACACAAAACAGCTTTAAATGATGGTTTTGGAAAAGCACTGTCTATTGTGGCTCACACAGAAATATCTAGAACTATTTTTCAGCATCTTCTTCTTCTCTTCCACCTTGTACCTCATAGAAGTGTCGGGGGGAAGATGTAATGTTCGTTGATGAGCTCTGTCAAGAGCACTATTAAGACTGATGTTCATTTCTGTAAGGCTGTTCTTAATGCCATCACTCCATATTTTCCGAGGTCTTCCACTCGCTCTATACCCGTTGTAACGTTTTAGTGTGGCTCGCTGTGGCGGATAGTACCAGGGCATTCTTGTTAGGTGTCCAAACCACTTCATTCGTTGTTCTTTGATGACCTGTAAGACTGGCTTTATTCCTAGCATTCGTCTGATTTCATGATTTCGTATTCTTTCTTTCCTTGAAACTCCTGCAGCTCTTCTAAGGCATTTCATCTCTGTTTTAGGTTCATTGGAGGATGTAAGTGTCCTTGTTTGGCATTGATAGCATAGTGTTGGCCAAAAAATAGTTCTGATAAGATTCACTTTAGTACTCTGAGGTATCTGCTTGTGTGTCAACAGAGGAGATAGTTGACCCATTGCTTGATTAGCTTTGGCACATCTGGAGCTAATTTCTCTGTCCAGTTTTCTGTTGGATGTAAAAATTGCTCCCAAATACTTAAATTCCTCTGTTTGTCTCAAGGTGTTTTTTTTTTAAATTTAATTTCTAAATTGTCTTTATGTCTTCCTATCATCATTGTCTCTGTCTTCGTAGTGTTTATTTTTATATTATATTCCTCCCCTTTGTTACTAATTTGATTTAGGTGGTTCTGTAGGCATTCCGTATTTTCTGCTATGAGTACCAGGTCGTTGGCGAAGAGTAATTCTGTAATATCTTCTTCATGCTTAAAGTTCGTTTCGCTACATATGGTATCCATGTATATTCAGCATAAATAGAAAAATAACTTATAGTGACTATCTAGAAAGACACTGTCTCTTGAAGAAAAAATTATTTTCTGTCTCATATTTTTCTTTTTTCTAGCTGCCATGGAATTCTTAATGTTTACTGCCGGTTCACAAAAACTTCGTTTTTCACCCTTTTGCAAGAAAACTATGTTTCAGTTTTCTTTATTAAACAGATCACAGATATGGGAAATCATTAGAAATCAATGGCTTTTATTAACATTCCCTGCTGGTGCTGGATTTAAACCTGATAACTTCTGAACCTGAGGTGGACACTTAAATCTGTAAGGTCTATTTTAATTATCTAGGTGAAGAGGATTTATAGTGTCTTAAGAGGTTTTCTGAAATTTTCTGCAGCTAGGTAAATCTTTCAACTTTGGAGTCAGAGGTGAGGTTAGACTTCAAATTCATGCATTATGTAGCCAAAAACATTAAAGTATTCATACTGAAGAAAATTAAGGGCAGCATTTATACAGCAGACTACACATTATTTGACTGAAACTTGCCTTTTCTGTAACATCGAACTGACCCTCGTCGTCATAGTAGCCTTCATCTGACAGCTTTGTATGGACCAGATCTGCATACAACTTGGCCCCACCACAAATATCCTGGCAACGATGAATGACAGGAATTTATTTCAGATATACAGTTATGCAAATATCAGAGTGTGATCTCTTCACTTGCTCCTAACTCTTTGAGTCCCAAGGAACGCATCATACGTTCATAGGTTCCCGCCTAGAGGCCCAATAAACGCAAGATGCGCTGATTTTACATCTCTTTTGACTACCCCTTGGGCCTCTGATGCTAAACACCCTGGGACTCAAAGAGTTAAGCATTAAAAATGCGTTTAAAGATAAAAGAATCAAATTAATTCCATTATAAATTTATGCCTGGCATAGCTAACCCGGGCAACAATGGCCTGAAGAGCTTATTAGCAATGATAGTCTGGAAAAAGTCAATCAAAGTAGAACATTATTCACCAGAATCATCATCATAAACCACTTTTGCTGTTTAGCGTCACGGAGAGAAATAATTTGTCATCCAGTGCATACTGGCTGGCACTGGCTATTGTCATGCAGTGAAGGTGTAAAGTGTCTTTAATGTTGTCAGTCCATTTTTATGTGGCTGTTCTCTTGCTCTTGTAGTTGATTTTATGAGGTGAAGTGCCTGTGATGGTATCTGATGGTGCTGCATTCTAACAAGATGGCCAAACCCCTTGATCTGATGTTTCTCAATGAATTTGATACAATGTATTGTTCCCATAGTCTCTCTAAAGGTATCATTAATCCCTCATTCTCAGATGACTGGAATCGGAAAAATTGGTATGTGACTACAAAATAGAGATAAGCATTCTTTGGTCATGTGTTGAAGAAGCACAAATGTTTGAAAAAAAAAAGAAAAAAGAAGTATCAAACGTGGATTAAATATATATTTTAACATTCACAATGAAAACTTGTAAAATTCACATACAAAAGAAAAAACAGCAATGAAACTTTTTAAATAAGTTTACAAGCACCAATTGTGATCATTTATATGTGAAAGAAAACAATAAATAAAAAAAACCAATATAACCAAACATTAGATACCTACTTCAGTAAGTTTGTAAACAAATGGATAAGCGCCAGCTCTATCTGGCCAAGCCAGCTGCTTCCAGAACTCAGTAATCTGTAAGGCAAAGTAAATTAACCACTGACTGATCTGTTAATGTAAATAATTTTTTGTCTGAAATAAACAATCTTATGTAATGTCACTCAATAGTCTTTTAGTCTATTTCGTCATCAAAAATTACAATATATGTTGAAAAAAATTAAAAATGGAACAAACTTTGAATATCTAGGCTCTGTAATAAATAGTAATGGCGACTGTTTGACAGGAATAAAAAAGAGGATGGCCATAGCAATGCAAAGATTAAACAGTATTAACGGTTTAGGGTTAAGGTTAAGCACAGGCAGTAAAGTCAAAATTAACATTTTCAGAGCAGGCAACTTCCCTGTAGCAACATACAGATGTGAATGGTGGACTATCTCCCAGTCCTTAAGAAATAGAATAGGAGCTTTTGAGCTGAAATGATATAGAAAGATTCTCAGAATATCATGGACAAAGAAGAGAAGAAATACTGACATTTTAAAATATCTGAACATAAAAAAATATTGGCTAATAAACAGCATCTTGTCTCAGAAGCTGAAATATTTTGATCATATCAAGCGCCACGGCAAATTAAAAAAAAAATTATAGCAAAAGGCATGGTACCAGCAAGGAGAGGAAGGGGCAGACCAACATGAAGATGGGCACAGGATATAAGTGACTCCTTGAAAGTGCATGAGGCAGGAGAGATGGTGAGAGACTGAGTTTGCTTCAGGCAGACCGTAATGAGAGCAACATTTTGCAAAGGACCTGCTACATGATAATGGTGAGTCTACTGGAAAGAAGTAATAATTGGTATTAATATATTAATTGGTATCCTAATGTGAATTACTATATTTTTTAATCTAGAAGACGATAAGATTTCAACAATTTTTCAAGTTTAAAATCGGGGGTTGTCTTAAATACAAAACTTGTTTAAAATATTTATTTCTATACTTTTAGCTAATACAAACTGGGACTGTCTTATACATGAGGGTGTCTTATACAAAGACAAAAATACAGATTCTTCAGTCCTGCACGATGGCTTAAAAAAAAAAAATGAACTGACAGATTCTGTTTGAGTTAGTGAGTTGCGAAGATGCTAAACATCCAGTCAATACTTGATGATAATGATGATAAACTGGTTTTCTGAATAATTTTGAACATTTGGTACGTGGCTTAAAAAAAAAAATGAACTGACAGATTCTGTTTGAGTTAGTGAGTTGCGAAGATGCTAAACATCCAGTCAATACTTGATGATAATGATGATAAACTGGTTTTCTGAATAATTTTGAACATTTGGTACGTGTAGAAAATGTAAGTGTATTTTTAAAAAAATAACTTAGACAGTTCAGACGAGTGTACAGCACTAGCTAGAGAGAGACAGGCAGAGGGAGACAGAGAGAGACACACAGAGAGAAAGAGAACGACACAGAGAAAGACAGAGAGAGAAAGAGAGAGAGAGAAAAGAGAGAGAGAGAAATGTTGCACACAGAAACAGAGAAAGATACAGAGAAAGACTGATAAACAAAGAGACCGACAGTTTCAGATGGAGGCAGAAAGCAAAAGCCACAGAGTTAGAGAGAAATAGAGAGCAGAGACAATTATAGACAGTTGTGCACAGAGATAGAGATAAACACAGAGACAGTGACAGAGAACGGGGCTAGAGAGAGAGAGTTAGAGAAACAGAGAGACTGAGAAAGAGAGAGTGAGCGACCAAAAGAGATGCTGCATCAAACATGGACACATAAATCCATGATACCATTTAAGTGTTATTGAACTCATGCTTTGAGCTTGTCAACAGCGCTTAATTATGCAACAAATTTCTTTCTTGAGTATTATAATGACGCTGATCTACCTGAGTAAAACAACAGCAGACATCAACTGCAGATGTACTGTATTTCACTCCTGCATCTGCATGAGCAACCTGTAAGGTAAAACATCATGTATGAGCTTTTGGTAACTAAGAAACTGCCAATCAATCCAGTAACAAATCATGAAACTAATAAATAAGCCAAGATAAACAAGTCCATATTTTTCTTCTTAGTTCGGGTGTCTAAAAAAAAAAAAAAGTAGTATAATATATATAAACATAATGTGTGAGAATTTTGTAACTGAGAAACAAAGTCAAAAATAAGAACTTAATGACAGGAGCAGGCACAGCAGGAGTCAACCGATCTCCAGTAGTAGTTGAGTTGATTCAAGAACTGACATCACAGCACATGGGGCATTTCCATAAGTGCTCCATCCCAATCTTCAGCAGCCAGTGCAGAGTTCAAATGCTGATGGTGCTAGTAGCATTCTGATTATACGTCCATATTGCCTTTCCTCCGAGTGTTGAGTATCGGCCAGATCCCATCATCACTCCTTGCTGCATTACTCTCACAAGACTGTAGTGATCCATTTGCTCCTCTGACTTGTACACATTTTTCCAAAAGGCCCTAACCACGTCTACCAAGTTGTGCAGAGCCAGTCAGTCTGTCCAACTGTTCATTTCCCAACACACTAGCAAACCCTGGAGAAAACATCCAGACAATCCTCCTGACCTGTGACCTCTGAAGAGAAGCATGCTACCATCATGAAGAATGCCTGCCGTCACTTTCCTCAGCATGCTTTGTGGAGTCAGTGATAATCATGATGTGTGTGTATGTGTGTGTCATGTTCTCTAACCAGCGGAAAGACTGTCATAAAAGCTGCAACTTAGGGTTTTGATGAAATTGGAATTGTTGAACTGAAAGGTGCAGATTTGCAGCCTGGTTGTAAACCACAACATAATGTGTCAACTGCCCTTTTAAGGGCAAATGTCTAAGAGAAATAAACACATAAGTTTAATTTTTTGTAGTCACTTTGACCACATAACCTATAAAAAGTGAGGTTTGCATGCATTTTCTTTTACCTAATGCAACAATCAGTAAAAATGAACTTTCACTGTAGTTCCCTTTTCTCTTTTCTCTTATGTCTCTTACATTAATTTTTTAAATTATATTTTTGTTCTTTTTCTCCCTTGAAACTTAGACTGTAAGATAGAGGTGTTTGTGGGGGTAGTTGCTTTATCTGTCGTTCTGGGGGACTGCCAACTTGCCTAATTATAAAGTGAAATGGGACACTGATGAGTTAAGGAAATGAGGGCATCCAAGAGAAACTCAAAAATGGAAGGTTTATGTTGTACTCACTCCTCCATGGAGCTTCTAGCACACATAGAGGATAGGAAAATAAAATTTTATCTCATTCCTGGGTGAAGCTGGACAAATAAATCTAGGTAATCTATAAAACTACTGACCTTGCCTCATATGTCTGGCATGCCAGTGGTATGAACAGGGTACTTCACTCTAATACATACTTTTTCCAGCTCCACAGCTTTTTTGATGCGTCTGACTGCTCTCTGCTGTGCTATGGTAAGCCATGTACTGACAGCACACTTGAACCAGTGGTAGTAGTTAGGGATGGTCAGCTGCTTGATGTCACTGGAGAAAAGGTACATATCAATACAAAAGTGGTTTTAACTCTTTCAGTCCCAGGGAATTTAGCAGCAGACATCAAAGGGGTAGTAAAGAGGGATATAAAATCTGTGCATCTTGCACTCATTAGGCTTCTGTGAATGTATAATGTGTTCCTTGGCATTGATGAGTTAACAGACTGCATATTTAAAAAAAAAATTGTAAGCAGCTTCAAAAGTGAAGGTTGAAGTCAATGCCATAAAGGCTGACCCAAGCAACACATGTCTGAAGAAGGGAAATGTGTTAACCAAAAGGAGGCAAATATCACAATCAGTCTGTAAATTGGCTCAACGTAATTATCTTCTTTGATGGAAGCTACGAAAAGGTTATAGTTAAGGTAAATAATCAATGATTAACCAGAAAACAGGAGCTACAGATTTGTGCTAAGGTTTGTGAAGAGAATTACTCAAACATCTGGATACTGAGATGAATATCAAACAAGGTGATAAAGTGATAGACATTAAAAAGGATGAACTGAAGAAAGGTAAGACTCTGAACTTGGAATGGTAACTTGAGTCTCATAATCAGCACCCTCATAGCACTAGGCAGTAGAAAGTAGAAAAGTTTTACTAACAGCAAAGAGGCATCCATGAATGAAGAATGTAAATCAAATAATAAGAGAATCAACATTGAAAAGACAGAAGTATTGTCAATAGGAAGAATGAAGCAGGATTTAAACATAACATTACAGCATACATATATTAAACATGCATCTGAGTTTAAATATCTTGGAAACAACATTCACTGAAGATGGTAAACTGGATGAAAAAATTGAAATTCAATGCAGAAAAGCAGGCCAAGTATTGGGACAGCTAGCCCCCCTCTTACAGCATAAGGCAATTCCAATCAGCACAAAGAGACATCTCATACAAAGCATATTTATTCTCAACCTATTCTACCAGTGCCAGACGTTGTTACTTACAACAAAACATAAATGGAACCATGGAAATGAGGTGTCTGAGAAAGACTGTATGAGAGAAGAGAAAAAATAAAATCATGAATGAGGTCAAATGAGATAGTCGGCACAGAACCAGTTCTAAATTACATACAAAGAGAGCAAATCGAATGGTTTGCCCACTTGGAGAAAATGCTTTCTGATGCTATACCATACAAGACATATACCAAAAGAGGAGAGGGACATACAGCAAGAGGGAGACCAAGAACAAAATAGGAAGATAACATCAGAGAAACTCAACAGCACCATGACGTGTCTATGGTCCAAGCAGCCAGAAAAGCACAAAGCAGGACCTTATATCTCTCTCGACACCTGAAGCCGAAAAAAAAGGACATAAAGATGAAGAAAGAGGCAGTGAAGTGATGTGATCAAACTAATTTATGCCAGTGATCTGATCTGATGATATTGATGACCTGACAATGATGTGTTGTCAAAGTTTATCAGGAGATAATCACTGTGTTTATTCTTCACAAACAAAATTACTTTCTGTAATAATTAATTTATCATTATTATAAACTATTTCACTTGTGATATGATTTATTTTTTATGGAGTTCTGAATACAGTTGGAATAATACATATTTGAACAATGTAGGCACTTTCTTTGTTTTTTCTTTTACTCACATTTTCAAATATTCAGTCATATTAGATGATTATTCACTATACATTTTACAATGTCACTTAAAGTGGCTAACATTTCAGTAATACTGATTTAAAAGAAATATTATTCAAAACAATTCTGGCGTTCATTCCCCCTTTTCCCTCAAAAAATTACTCAAGATTAAATCACACACACACACACACACACACACACACACACACACACACACACATGCACGCACTCACACCCAAACAAGAATCATCATTCATAGATTTGCAAAAAATTGTTTTCTTTAAAAGATAATATTACATTCTGAAGAAAAACAGTGTGTTAGACATTTTATTTGGAATATAACGAATCTAATGAGAGAATAAATCACAAAACGCAAATAGCTAATATTGATGATTTGAAAGTGTGCAAATGGATAGGTCTAAAATCTAATAGAATAGAAGTGTACACCTAAAGAAATTGAAGTTTGAACAGACAAAACTGAATGAGATATAGAGACACCATAAGTAAAAATTAAATTAACTTTGGCAAAGCATAAGAGAAATGGAAGAATCCAATCTGGTAGCACTGTTGCCATCCTTTAATTCTACAAAGGATATACAAGTTTGTTATGTCTTCAGACTGATACTTTAGTTTACACTAACTGAAGTAACTGAGGAACAGTTTCAAATCCAAAGCTTGATGAGCAGCAATGGTTATTTTGATTCTCATTGCATTCTTACTAGATGACAAAACCATTTGATTTTTTGCCTCTCATTGAATTTGCTGCATGGTGTTACTTAGAGATTATAAATAAAAAATTTAAAAAAAGCAAGGTCTAAAATAGTTTATACATCCATGCATAAAAAGAGATAAAGTAACAAGTCCAAGTGGAGGGGGGTGGATTAATACTGAAAGAGCTTGGTGAGTTGATTCATACTGAATTAATTATTAATCATAAATGGCTGATGTTTTCAAGTTACCTGTGGGGCAGATGCCTGCTGTAGCGAGCAAATTCCTGCAGGTTCATGTACAGCTCAAAGAGACCTGTGTTGAGAGTCATAGTACCTGCGCTAAGACCAGAAGGCTCATGATGGCAGTTGTTAGCTTTAAGAATCTTCTCTATGCTTTGGTTCATCTCATCACCAAGCTAAAATAAAAATACGAATTGAAGAATCTGAATCTCATGATTAGTACACAATTTAGAGTCTTTAATGTGATATGTTCTGGAAACCTAAATCTGCGATAGCCAATCTTTGATAGTGGCATAATTCTCAAAAGCTATCAGCATTACTGCTTTTAGTAACTCAGTTTACTGTTGACAAAACAGGATAAAACAATGCTCTGATGGTAAGACAATCAATTTTTTTATTTGCTTTAACTAAAATACAAATTGTTTTTTTCTTCAATGCTCCTCTTTTGATCAGCAGTATTTCTACATGTCACATATGGTAACCTTTGTTGACATGTAGTTTATCATTAAACAAATGAAGCACTTACAGAGACAGATGAATGTAGTTAGCTCATTATAATAATTAGATGCAGATAATGTTTTTGGGACTTATTGTAAAAAGGAACGGGCTCAAGAACTTGGTAATAACTGGCAAGATTTATGGAAAGAGAGTAAGAGGAACACAAAGTGATAAATATGTGGATGACTGGATGGGGCGAGACAAAAACATTGAACTGATCCATGATTCTGGTGATCATGTAAGATGGTGAAACATGACAGCCTACGTTTACTGGCAGGACACATGATGATGATGAGTGAAATATTTAATTTTAAGTCAATCTGAAGCATTCAATACAAGAATTTACTACTACTAATCATGTCACAAAATTTATACACAGAAAGTGCTTTGTACAAAAGAGCGCAAAACATCAGGAGTTTTTTTTTTAAATCATCAGTTTCCATTTTTGCTGTTAAGCATTATGGGGAGGATCAGTTTGCGATCAATTGATTGATGGACAGCAAAAGGTACTGTCATTCCGTGTTGATGTAGAAGCTCTTTAATGTCATTAATCCATCTTCTCCTAGGACAACCTCTTGCTTTAACTTCAGATCCTTTTATGTGTTGCACCTGCAATGGTAGTTGTTTCTGCTGCATTCTTGCTAAATGACTAAACCATTTGATCGTCAACGAATTTGCGATTTGTTATCATCTGCCTTTATTTGCCCTGGTCCAAAATCTAGGTAAAATAATGAAGTTTTTTTCAGAAAAGCCATCATTAAAGACAAAATAATTCCAATCAATAATAAATTATCCAGATGATGTTTACACAATAAAGGTTAGCTGCAACAGATCTCTAGAATGCCATGTTTTTCACCTTGGATGTACATTCTCTTGAGACTACTGCTTGTCCATCACATGCTTGCTTGCCTTCAGCTTTCTTCACCAGTAGTATGGTTTTTAGTGAGAGTTTTGTGTCTTTACAGGTCTGATATATTGTCTCTCGTTTTTTTTTTATTGTTCCTTCAGAAATTATCCTTTCCTTCCTAGTTTCTTGAAAACCTCTGTATTTGATTGTTTTTATTTCAATAAAATATGATCTATTATTCTGAGTATCCACAGCATCAAAGCCTTAATGTTTCTTTTTTTTTTTTTTAGCATTATTTTTTTTAAATTTCTTGAATCTCAGTCACGATTTTATATGTTGTCTTACTTTTTATATCTGCTCAGAAGATTCTAAAGAACATTTTAATACAAATGATGGCTTGATATGTTTTAGGACTGCAAAAAATTAACTGAATCAGTTTTGATCCAGACAATATTGGTTGTTGTTGGAAGGATGCAAGATGTTTAAAAAAAAAAAACCTTCTGGTAAATTAAAATGTTCTGTTTATAAGCAACAAATCCTGTTGACTTAAAAAGTATTGTCATGTCCACATAATTACATACATAATGTACATTTTCTGTGATATATTTTATCAAACTATACAGAAAGCAAAGAAAGAGACACTAATACAAGATAAGCATTTGCTGAAAGAAAAAAATGATACACATTTTTTGGTCAAAGCCAGTTAAAAGTAGACATGACTTTAAAACATGAATATTATTTCAGTTTACATTAAAATATACCAGGATATATGCTCAAGATTATAACTGAGATACAAGTAAAATCTTGAAAGCTGGACAAAGCACAGTGTATGTAAATATTACTACTATTACATCATATTGAAATGATATTTACCTTTTACAAACTTATCTGTTTTTCAGTTAATAGTTATCAAATGTTAGTCTAAAAAGGAATGCATTATTTACAATATGCTAATTCAAGTCTGTTGGTCCTGGGCAGATGTTACTTTATCTAATAGGATCCTATGCAGGAGGGACTTTTAATAATATATACTTCAATCTGTCTTTACCACTTGTATTTGCAACTTGTTAGAGCCCTGTAGGACAGACAGGGGCCTTGATCCTGAGGATTTAGGACCCAGTGCATTGTAACAAACTGTGTGTTAAGATCTTTTAAGATATTTTTTTTACCCTTTCCAAAAAATTGTCACTCCCTTTCTTATTATTCTTATTTTCCCCCCTTAGTATTCACAGGCTGTAAACTCCAGTTCATCGACCTCTGGACTGTTTGTCTTGTTCCAGAACTTGTGTTTTACATGTGCATGAGTTTTATAGTTCTGTCTTATTTGAATGTTGTTCTTTGGCTCTCAGGCAGATGCATTTCGACTTTGGAGGAACGCTCTAATTAGTTACCTAGTATATTAGGGAAGCAGTGAGTCTATTCTTTTTTCCCCCTAACTACAATATAAATCCTTAAGAAAGAGAATAGGGGCTTTTGAGCTGAAATGCTATAGAAAGATTATCAGAATAACTTGGACAAAGAAGAGGAGAAATACTGACATCTTGAAAGATCTTAACATCAAGGGAGATTGGCTAATAAACAGCGTCTTGTCTCAGAAGCCGAAATATTTAGCTCTTATCAAGCACCACGATGGATTGGAAAAAATAATAGCAGAAGGCATTGTGCCAGGTAGGAGGGGCAGGGGCCAACCGACACGAAGATGGGCACAGGATATAAGTGACTCCTTGAGTATGAGTGCATGAGGCGAGAGAGCTGGCGAGAGACCAAGTTTCTTGCAGGCAGACTGTGATGAGAGCGACGTTCTGCAAAAGACCTGCTGCATGATGATGATGATCAACTATTTGGCCCCAGAACCTACACAAGAAACCAATGGTTTAAAACTGGGTATCCCACATGACAACCCAGCATTCTAACCACTCAGCCAGCTGCTTCTTATGTTTGTCTACAGGACTTGAAATTATAGTATAGAATGATGGGAAAAATAAAGTAAAGATCCCTTTTCATGCCTTTAGGCGTATCAGGTATATGGGAAGAGTGCCCATATTTTTTCAGACCATCGGCACTAGGTGGGTAATTTGGTCAGCATTATGCCGGCTGTCTTTACTTCCCCAGGACAGCCATCATGGTACCCATTTTAGGCTGGGTCAACCTACGATGCTCCATACCATGATAAAAATTCAAGCAGCCAGCAGTGGGTTTTGATCGCGGTACGTTGGAATTATGAGTCAGACTCGCAAAGCCTAAGCCGCGTATAAAATGATGTAGATAGTTAAAAAGGCAAAAAGGATAAATCATTTGGATACAACAAAAGGCAGTGAGAAAAGCATATCATATGCGGTGTACGCAATAAACATCTAATGCACTGTTTGGTACACATAGAGTTAATTACCAGATATCAAGTCACTCTGGTTTATCTTTTTCACAAGACATACAATTTCACCTTCACCCCTTCACCCTTTTTTCCATAATAATAATAAAAAAAAGCTTTGCATGTCCTTCTTCTTCCTAAAGTCCATGTCATGTGGTGTTGGTATCATGTCTATCCACAACCTTCTGTCTCATGTACTTTCAATCAACTCTAACACAAATTATCTTGAAACCATGATGTCAAACCATCCAGCATCTGTTCTCTCAGCCTCCCTCTGCCTTTCCCCCCCCCCTCCAACTTTCCTAGTGTCACAATATACTCCAGTTTCCTCCTTCTCATCACATCACCAAAGAATGTAGACTGTCTCTTTCTGATGTTGGCAATCAGTTCTCTTCATGAGTCAGTTTCTTTCAAGACGTCTTCTTTACTCTTTTTAATTTGTCCAGGGTATTCTCATCGTTTATCTATAAAACCACATCCCTGCAGCTTCCTGATAGGTTTTCACTAATTTACTAAGTGTTGATGATTCACATCTGTATATCAGCATAGGATTTATAAAGCTTTTAAGAATTATCTTTCTTATCTCAACTGAACAAAAAAAGATTGCATGAAATATTCTTTATTTTTTTTGGAGTGCTTTATTTGCTTGAGCTATTTGACATATAACTTCCCTAATACATCTTCCATCTGGTGTTGTTACCAGGGCACCCAAGTACTTAAAAATATCAACTTGCTGAGGTTTGTCCCATTTACTTTGATGTTGCATGCTCTAGGTCTTCAATTTCTTCATCTTTACTGAACACTTAATGACACTCACGTGCGGATCGGAAGATTTTGGGTTCAGGTACTAACGGAGCCAGACTTTTTAAAAAAATGACCCTGGCTGCCTGGTCGACCCAGCCTTGAGTGAGTACCAGGCAAAGTCCTGGGAAGTAAAGACAGTTGGCGTGGTGCTAACCGCATCGCCTACCAAGTGGTGCCGACTGGTCTATAAAATATAGATCTAGCCCTATTGGCCCAATATGCCTAAAGACATGAAAAAGGGTTCTTTTACTGTACTGAACACTTCATTACCTGTCATGTCTGCTGGTTGAAAGAACATGTGAAATTAAAGTTACTGATTCTAAAACAGAAGAACAACTTTACTATGGTGACAAACCTCCTCCTCCAAAATCTTCTTCACATCCACAGACAGCTGGTGGAGAAAATCATAAAAAAAACAAGCACAAATAAGACAAAATTATAAACCAAGCTTTTTGCTGCTAATCAATAACAAATTCAAAGTAAATAAAGATGCATGCATGCACAAAAATGCAAAAGAAAAACATTGACAGCTTTCATTGTTTTCAAGTTTTCAGTATCAGCAACTTCTGTTAAATCTTTTGTGATCATGTGTTTATGTTTCCTCCCATCCGTGTAACTATCTGGCTATATTGACCCGACACTGAGAATTCAAGAATGTCATCCTGGATGGAAATCAAGAAGGCAAATCCCAGATACCATATTAAACCTTCAAAAAAATTTAATTTTGGGTCACTCTTAACTGCTATAACAGCCAAGTATGAGAAATGAGTATTGGTTAGCATACACTGACCACTAGGTAATCAAGTGTTGATTGGTTTCTACAAGAATGAACTAACTCCATATACCTAATGAGGATCCATGGTAGCATAACCACTAGACTCCAAAGGTCTTGAGTTCAAATCCTTTTTGAGTCAGATTATTAAAAAACAGATCCCAGGTCAACCCAACCTCTAAATGGGAACAAGATGACGTCCTGGGAAGTAAAAGCGGCTGACATGATATTAACTGCATCACCCACTGAGGGCCAGTTGGCTACGAGATTATGTCTCGCATCCTATGCCCGATGTGCTATTACCATGAAAATAATCTGTTTTTACTTACTGTCATATACACTATGCACCCAGGTCATGCAGAAGGGCTCTTTAACTTCATTTTTATACTTGGAACACAGTAATAAAGTGACCAGAATTCTCACTTACAGGCCTGGCAATCTTGGAATTTTTAAAATCCTATTTATGCTGTTTGTTTGACAGCTAGAACAAATGCAATGCCAGCATATCATTTAACGATAAAATATCCCTCTTTATTAATTAAAGGAGTATCTAACAACAAAATATCCCACTATATTAGTCATCTCCATGTTGCCAAATTCAATCTGTTTAAATATATTTTGGAGGACTTTAATATTTGTTAGGGTATATATTTCAATAACTTTCTTTATAAAAATATACTTCCTTTGAATTATATTGTTTTCCCATTGTTGTAAATATGACATATTTCTTAACTGCATTATTAAGGCTAAGGATTATTTTTATACTCTCTGTGTGTGTGTGTATGTGCACGAGCGCATGCCTTTCTGATATACATGATTGGGTGAAACATATACATATTTCAGCTGACAGAGTGATGCAGCCAATATTTTGTTTCAGCTTATAACTTTCCATGTTGCTTCTATACCTGACAATGTTCAAAAGAAGGGTTCATTATTCTTTTGGAATAAAATTATTATCAAACATGTGTCATACAGATTCTGTTTTTTTGTTGTCTGACATTTGACACAAGAATATTGCTACTAGTCAAAACATTCAGAAAATTACCATGATTAGCATACATGATATCCATGAAATCAGCAATGAAACAACTTTTTGGGTAAGCAGTTAGCTGACTTTACAAGAGGCTTCACTTTTGTGGGTGCGTGACTGAAAGGTGTGTTGAAGAAATTGTGATACCATAATCAAACAGATGACAGTAGTTTCTTTGATATGATAGAGAACAATGGTGGAGGCCCCAAACATTTTGTTCAGCTGTTGTCTAGTATATGTAAACAACTTAGCATTACGTAGTAGAATCTGACACTGAATTTGTTTAACCATTTTTATATATTTTTAGTTTGTTTTCTTTCAAAAAATTACAGTAGATGACATAACTCACAATAGGATGCAATGTAATCAATTCGTTTTACTCCAGTACAACAAATAATACTTGGAATGCAGTATCATTTTCAATGCTAGAACCTTTTGCATGCACAAAACTGAAGTCTTTAGCCACATTGCAGACTTAGTCCCAAAGCTGTATGTGAACTCAGAGATTTTTTTCATATGACAGATCATTTTTCAAACTAGAACTGCCAGCCAATGCAAAATATCAAATCATCAATGTTTGGTTAAATACATGAGAAAATAGTTTATTGTCTTTACTTTTTTTAACACAATGTAAAATACATTTTATAAATTTCCTAGGTTAAAAAAATGTCAAGATTAACCCAAGAAGCCATGGTAGCACAGTGGCTAGTGTTATTTTTTCAGTCAGTGTCTTTCTGTAGCATGGTTTTCAAATATATGTTTTTTTTTTTCTTCTATTGACATTTTCCCTTCTGTTTTATTTGAGTTATTTTTATGTTTCCATGAATCCACCTCAGTACCTGTATGATTTATATTCTGCTTGCTTACATCTTTAGACTGTAGACGAGGCAACCTCAAAATATGTGCCAGAGCCCAAGACTCATAAATGGCAAATATCTCCTCTCCATTTGTTTCCCTCCACTCGAGGATGAAGTTCCTCCTTTCCAGGATAAAGTTCCTCCTTTCCAGGATGAAGTTCCTCCTCTCCAGGTTGAAGTTCCTCCTCTCCAGAATAAAGTTCCTCCTCTCCATGGAACAAAGCCTTAGGAACAAGTACTGCCCATGCAGCATGATCACTCCCTTGCCCTGCTTTGTTAATTCTACAGGACAGGTAAACCAGTACATCTGGGACAAAGCATGCTACAGAAGATGCCATATCAAAAAAAATGCAGCACTTTGCCTGCTTGCAAAATGTGCTATGTCAGAACTGGTAAATTCTACCTACAATTCAGCATCTAGAAGAGAAAAGGTAGTACTGACTATTGTTATACAATAGCTCAGTTATATCTGACCATGTAAAGAGAGAACAGGTGGTACTGATTACTCTTATACGGTAGCCAAGTCAAGTAAGTTGAACTTAGTAGAGCGCAGGTAGTACTGACCACTGTTATACTGTATCTCAGTCTTATCTGACAAAGTTAGTAGAGAACAAGCACTACTGTTATACAAACAGTCTACAGTGATGTTGGAAACTCGACTGTATAACAACTAATGATTTGTATACAATAGATCTGTCATATCTAGCAAGTTAAGAGAGAATAAGTAGTGCCAACTACTGTTATACAAACTTATCTACAGTGATGTTGGAACCTCGACTATATTTTAACTAACAACTAATGATTATTATATGATTAATCTATCATATCTAGCAAGTTAAGAGAGAATAAGTAGTGTCAACTACTGTTATACAGTCGTTCAGTCCTATCTGACCAAGACTTGACTGACATCAGCTGCTGTCTTTTAAATTGTATGTGAAGGAATCAGGCTATAGCATACAGAAAAGCAACTTTTGTCTTTAATTTGTAGTGAAACCTTTATGACCCCCTCAACAACTGTTAAAATCTGCACTTCAAAATCAGCATCCCATTTCACTTAGTGAGTCTTGGTTGCCCAAACGCTAAAGCATTTGATAATAATTTGAGGTTTTCTTCTTCTTTTTATAAGCATTCACTGGCTTAAATTCTGGCTGAAAATTCTGGTTGTTCGTCCACATCCAGACTTTATAGTCTTGTTTCAGAACTTGAGTTCTGTAGGCACATCCATTTTACACATCTTGATTACTTGGATGAAGTCATTTGGTTCCTTGCTTCTCAGGCAGAGGCACTATGACATCAAAGGGAAACTCCTAATTAGTTGACTTTTACAACATGTTTTTTTGGGGGGAAAGGGGAGTGGGGAGGGGGCAGTGAGTCTGTTCTTTCTTCACCTAAAATGCGTCTCAAAATTCACACTGGGAATAATGTGAGCCCAATCTCTAACAGCGATCTGATGTATTTTTTCTGATCACAAGGGTCTTCTGGGGCCCAGACAACAGCATTAAATGGGGACTGGACAGTTTTTCAAATTCTTTTGGGAATTATCTGTAAAGACATCTAGAGGCATCATGCAGGACATGAGGGTACAAAAGACATCTGGATTTGGTTTTTAAATCTACCTGTGTAATAATAACAACAGTAACAACACTAATACTAACAACAAACAGTACAGCATATAACAGCTACACAAAGATATTTAGCACATCAATAATTTATGACACAGTAATTATGGTGGATTGCCCATCAAACTAATAATATCCCTGTTCAAAGGAGGACTAGTACTTTCCACACATATAATTCCCTGTTGAACCCTTAGGGTTATAACTGAGATATATAGTGTCACTGAATTTTCTATGCATGCTTTTGCTACTTTATATGTTGTGTAATCATTTTGGTCATTCATTTATGTAGTGTGTAATACATCCTGTTCATATTGTCTGTGTTATGATTAGCACATACTGTATGTAATGATAATTTTGATAGTATTTGATACCTTGAACCTTAAAATAGTAAATTTTATATTAAGCTAGGTTCAAAGATGTCTCCAATACAACTGTAAACTTATGGTTCTTTTCTTTCTTGTAATGCTGTTTTCTAAGCAGCGACTACAATAGGGAATTCACCAAGCACACAAGATTAGTAGTTACATAAAATGTAGCTGTAAATGTAAAATATTGCAATAATTTCAGCCAAAACTGACTGACTGACTGACTTTCTACCCCACTAGGACATCACACAAGCGGTAAACACCCGATGACACAAAGTGCCACCATGTGGATGAGGATTGCCGTGGAGAGGTCCCAGAAACTGCGGTCAGACAATTGGCCATATTTATGGCCTGCCTATATTGCGGCCCCTGGCAAAAGCCAGGGTGGGGCATCAAATAACAAAAAATTTCGTCCTAAAAAGAACAAAACACCTATTGCTAGGTAAGGAATTAGTAGCCAAAACTACATAGAAGCATTAACTGTTAGTAACCAAGCCACCACTCAAAGTGGTTTACAAATGGCCTTTACATTACCAAACTCCACTCAGAGTAGCTCTAGTAGCTGAGACACAAGTGTCCATATTAAGTAAAATATTCTGCTTATTCCCCCCCCCCCCCCCCCCCCCCAGTATTTGTTAATTAGATTTGGTAAAAAAATTTGGGGGAGGGGGGGAGTGGGGTGGCAAAGGTGGATGAAGGTATTAAAAATTTGCACACTATATTTCAAATTACAGTTTTTAAACTTGACCTTGCTGGAATATATTCCCAAAAACATGACCTTGTTAAAAATTAGCTTTTTAATTAAGTGTGTGCAGAGAGATCTGCAAAGTCATATTAACATTTTCTGATCAGTGACATTAATTTAATTTTTAGCTAAAATTTAGCATGACTTCATGTCATGAATTTAGTTTTAATTACATCTTTAAAATTATCTGGCGGTAAGTTTATGTTTGGTTACAGCTTTCACCAATTAAGTTTATGACAGGAAAAACTGGGCTATATTTGCTAGAGATAATACATTTATGAATAAGTTTACTATAATAATAAGTTTACCATTTTTTCCAGCTGTTTGTAAACCACTTGGAAATAATGGACTTGAGTTAGTCTGCAAAGGCAAATATGAGAAATGATGAGTTATTTTGGTGTGAATTATTAAAAACAAAGGTTATGAATTTTATCAGTTACCTGGGGAACTGACCAACACTCAACACTCAGGGGAAGGATGAGACCGATATACAATCAGATGGTTAGTGGTACCATCAGAACTTGAACTCTTTACCTGTGCTGAAGATGGGGACTGAGCACTTATGGGAGTGTCCCGAGTGCTGTGGTGTCGATTCTTAATTCAACATTCAGTATCAAAACAATGAAAGCTACAGTAGCACAGTAGTACCAGAAAAGTTTCCTGTGAAGTAAAGGTGGCCTGTTTAATATTACCCACATCACCTACAGTGTGCAAGTGGATCTAGAATATTGGAGAGCTAGCCTCATATACCCAACAGAGGCCATTTACTTTATAAGCTTTGTTTGTACTTGTTTATTCTAGTGTCTGTTCTTTTGGCTGTGTGGTCGTTTAGTAATGCAGAGTGTGGCTTCTGGAAGAAGGGGCAGAGGTGGACCAGAATGATAACTGACAAAGATGTTAAGGACATCTTGGGCAAAAACATTCATGAGGTGAATGGTTGATCTGAACTGAGTTAAGAGCGAACATCAAAGCACTACAGAAATTCTGATACATTCTCATCTTCAGCAACCACTTGTGATATGATGCAACTGCACAAGGCAAAGGTGATTTCTCACCTGTGGGAGGAGGTAACAAGCAAAAGGGAATATACCTGAAAGTCCATAGCTGGACAGAATGATGCAACAGGGTATGCCTACAAGCTCTAGGCATCACTAAATACTCAGAGTGGGGGTGGGGGAGGGGGGTGGGGAGGTTGGGAGGCAAGACAAGAAGGGAGTAGTTATCCAGATAACACTAGATACCATTAGTATCTGGCTGTTGAGAAAAGAGATGGAGCTAATACGGGTTTATCCTGAATATTGTGATGTCAACTCTTTATCATGACAAACCCAGATCTTCTGCAACGAGTAAAGACTTCCAGTGCTGATAGTACAAGAAGCCATTTGATTATACGAGTATGTTTATCTTGCTTTTTGTCTGTGTGATAGTGTCAGGCAGACTCCCAGGTCACTCCATGGTGCACCAGCACCAATCTCTCCTGACTGTAATGATATGTTTGTGCTTCTGCATTTTGGTTAGGTGGACACAGGATCAAATGGCTTTCTGGCATGTCATTTTGAGAATGATTTTCTGCAAAGAACCTGCTACATCATGAGAAAACATACACACAACTCACTCTTCAAACAATTGATTGTAGTTGTGGTAGGCCTTGAACACATCCCCATTGAGATGGTTACACAGTTCTATGAGTCCCTGAAGGAGGTCATCATCTTCCTGGTTAAATAAATATATCTGTTATAGTTCATATCATTATCAAGACAATATTTTGTGTAATTCATGTGTTGATTTCATAGTAATAAACTGTATGTTATTTTTTTCATAAATATTTTTTTGGTCCTATATTAAATAAGACAAAAACTCATCAAAAGTATGCAGTCTTTGTCACTAAGTCTTTGTTACATTTCATAGCCTACAGGACTTAACATCCAAAACAGTTTTATATTAATTTTTTCATTCCTTACGTCCTTTTTAGGACGAAATTTTTTGTCATTTGAAGCCCCACTCTGGCTTTTGCCAGAGGCCGCAATATAGGCAGGCCATAAATATGGCCAATTGTCTGAACGCGGTTTCTGGGACCTCTCCACGGTGATCCTCATCCACATGGTGGCACTTTGTGTCATCGGGTGTTTATCGCTTGTGTGATGTCCTAGTGGGGTAGAAAGTCAAGTCAAGTCACAGTTTTATATATTTTATTGTTTTAGTTGTGGCCCTTGCTATTCGCAGCTTTTTCTGGTTAGTATTCATCTCCCTGGTCAAACATGTGTCAGAGATTCAACTGGCCAGACAAGTGTGTGAATTCTCTCAGTTAAGTGATTTTTTTTGTATTGTTCATATTTGTGGTACTGAATATGTAATGTGCTGATGAAAGCTCCCTACCTGCAGATGTCACTTGTTTGTATTGTGGTAATGTAAAGCTGACTAGTAAGCTCTTCTTTTCATTTGGTTTGACATCATGTTATGATATTTCACAGAGTTTAGTTGTCTACCTTCATTGTTCTTTGATGTAATTAGGACAATGCTGCAGTTTTGCATGTAGTGTTATTGTGCATCATGCGGTGTCCGTGGCTTAGGTGTTTGTGAGTCTGACTCGTAATTTCACATACTGCGATCAAAACCCACTGCTGGCCGTGTGGATTTTTATCGTGGTATGGGGCATTGCAGGTCGACCCAGCCTAAAATGGGTACCAGGCTGGCTGTCCTGGGGAAATAGAGAGATGGCCAGCGTAATGCTGACCCATTACTCACCTAGTGCTGATGGACAGAAAAAATATGGGTGCTCTTCCTATATGCCCTATGCACCTAAAGGCATGAGAAGGGATCTTTGCTTTACTTTTTACTTTATTGTGCATCATAATTAATTCCGTTAGTTACCACATGGTCATACCTATCTATGCTCATGTCTTTGCATACAGGCACACATACTATTAAAATGTATTAAAGTATGCTCAAAAAAAGTTAGATTTACTGTTTTTTGTTTTAAATGAGTTAACTCATTATCCTTTAAATGAAACTCTGTATGCAGTTGAATCTAAATAATTTTTGGTTAAATGATTACCAAACTAACCTTCATTTGAGCTTGAAAAGAGTTATGTATCCGACCATACCATTCAATAGTACTTTTCTGCAGAAATTGAAAAGAAAAATATTCTGTATTAATTTTAAGATGATTTTAAGCCTGCATGATGAAATATATCACACACTTACATACACATATGCATGCATGTGCACCCTAATACACACGTGCACGCGAATTAAGTTTGTGACCCAGTGTACGAATGTACTTCAGTTTCATAGAATTATGTTTTATTATTTCTAGAATGTAATAAAGAAATAAAAAATTCAAAAAATGAAACAAGTTAATGCATTAGAAAAGTATTACCTTGACAAGGCTTAGGATATCAGATGGCAATTCTCGGTGAAATGGGAGGCATTTTCTGAACGCATTCATGTTATAAATGGTCGACAGACATCTGTAGAGAGAGAGCAAAGTTGAGACTGAAATAGTAGATGTCATCTATACTTTTATCTTAGCACTTTTTAATTAGAAATAAGACTACCCATTTGCTTAATTTAATCTCCTTGCAGAAGATTTTCCCTATCAGTTTAAGAGGTGAATAAAATACAATAAATAAATAGCCCATAAAGAAAAACAGCATGATTATTTATATATTTATAAATGAAATAAATACACTCTTCTTCTTCTTTTGTGTTTCTTTTTAATCTTAAAGTAGTGACTGGCATGTTTTGTTGTAGTTCACATCCAGTTTTGAAAATCTTCAGCGAGTCACCTTTTATGACATTTCTTGTTGAAGAGCAGTATATCTATTCAATCTCTTCCCAAATATGGGTCTCCAAAACCCACATACCATGCTCTAAGAATTTAAGATACCAAGGACATGATATATATCGTATCACCGTATTATTAAGTCAGGTGATCAGATTCATTTCTCACTACAGTTTGATTTCTATCTAACATGTCCATTATTATGACATACCACACCAAGACAGTAGTTCCTCAACTCTAGTCTTAGATCAGTTAAACATTTTCATCATCATCATAATCATTTGCCATTCCAAAAAGCTTAGGCTGTCATGTCTCACCTTCTGACATCATCATCAGAATCCTGTATCAGGTCAGTGTTCTTGTCCTTCCCATCCATATGGTTAGGCCCCCTTTAGGTATTTATTTCTTTGCCCTCCCCTTGCTACCAACATTGACCCAGAAACTTAGGAGAGATCACTGTAAACCAACTATTATGAAAGCAGGAAGAGAAAGATGGGTGTCACTGCTTGCTGGACTATGCAGTCAAAACAGATACTGTTGGCAGCACAACTCCAGGGACTTCCTTTGGTCATTTTCTACCAATCTTGTCGGTCATAAACCATGTTTTAAACTTTTACATGACCAAATTAGTTAAACCCCTGAAAAGTTATACATATGCATCCAAGGCACAGTAAACTGTTAATGTTAGCTCAATGGTTGCATTTCCACTAATTGCTTACTTCAACATCATTTCCAATCGAGAAAATGCAATCTTATTTGTAGGAGGGTAGACATCTCTAAGCTTCTTGAGCAGACTTTTGCTGTACTCTATGAAATTTGTGAAGGATTCAGCTAATCCTTCCTCCTGCAACAAATGACAACAATTTAACAGTAGCATAACAACATTTGTTAATGAAAGAAGCAATTATCGAATGATGAATTATTATTTTGTTCAACTCTTAGTACCAAAATATTTTGTTACAGATATTTCGGGTTTGTAACCACAAAGAAAATGTATGGATTTATAACTTCCAATAAGGTAGCATTTCACAGTGTTACATTATTACATATTACAATATCTGGCCAGGTATCTCTAGTATTCTGAGTCGATATGTAAAACCCTGAGTTAACACACCATGTATCTATTGAGACAATAAGGACAAATGCTGAGCATACACAGCGCCCTTAAAAAACGTGAACACAAATAATACATTGAACATTTTACTGCCTGACCAATTTTGCTAATTTCAGTGGCAGGATTAATTTTAATTTTGGCATCTCATTAACTATTGACATAACTTTGTAATAATGCAAGAGATACCATGAGATATGCCAGAACTCCAAAACTCTGGCTCATTCATGTAGGTAATCATTGTCTGCCATCTTTCTTGCTTCCATGGGTTTGTGTCTTCTAGAGCTTTTTGTAATGAGCTTTAATGCAACAAGCTATGAGATTCAAACCTTACACTAACAAATGATTACCTGTACTGCAGTTGTCACCATGACACTACTGCATTGAAAATGCAACAGCATCACAAGACAAAAGTAGTAACTGTTTATTTTCTTACCTCTTCTCTAGATAGTGTTCCATCTTCAAACTGTCTGTCCAGGTCAATCAGAAGGTCAAGGAGAAGGTCATAACTGAGTGGATGCTCCATATGTTTTCTGCTGTAAGCCCGCCATCGACTGACATACAAACATAATAAATATGAGCCCAGTACAGATTTCTTTTCACCAGTCACATACAACATAATTACATACACATATTTATACACACACACTTTGCCCATTAACCATACATACAGGAATTTATGGAAAAATCCTCTGAAAAAATAACCTTTTACACATGTCACTAATAATATTTTTAAAGATTTATTGATCTACATTTTGAAATTCTTTTCCCTAGAATAATAAAGATTATATAAAGGATAATCAATAAATACTAACAGAGTGAAGAAATAAACGAAATACATTCCTTGTTTCAAAACCCAAATGTGACTCATGCTGTGAACCAGTGACCTTTACCACTGAGGCTTATTGGAAAATTTGACATCACCTTGGATTTCAGAAAGTCACTGGGGTCATAAGGAATCACCCCTAAATGCTATTTTTAGTTACTACCAGTGGAATTTTACTACGCTTTTAAGAACAGGTCATTGCAGACCTGACTATATATTTTGCATATATGGGGATTTGGCACATCCAGAAGAGACTAGATTTAGGTTTTTAAGGTTAAAAGGGTTAATGTCCTGGAGAAAATGAAAAATACCATGATGGTCTCAGCGTGATAAAGGAAAACTGATTTCATCTCCTGATGGATGAAGATAGTCCACTCACAATAGTGAGGCCAAAAAAAAAAAATGAAGGGACTGACTATCCTCTGTAGTAAATAGCAAAGTATGCACTCATTTTTATAGACAGCAAAAGAATACTGTCAAAGGCAGAGAATACCCATAATCTTTGATAAAAAGGCAAAAGCGACCACACTGTCATTAAATGTTTGGCCAGGTAAATGACATGGAAGTCAAAGGGGCAATCAATTCCTTTATCATCATCATCATCATCATCATCATCAACACCATCATCATCATCAACATCATCATCATCAGCATCAACCACTTCTGCCATTCTGCCGGCAGATGATGCAACCATAAACAGAGGGAACAATCTGTTTTGAACAATCTGTTTAATAGAATATTTGCAGATGGAAAAATTCCATATTAGTAAAATAAATGAATTATTGTTAAAATTCCAAAGAACAGTAATCCTAATGACTGTATCAACTGAAAAGGAATTACTCTGTTATCAATAATATCCAGTATGTTTTGTCAAATAATTCTCTATAAAATTTAAGAGGGTTTTGGACATAATCCTGAGAGAGAAACAATCGGGTTTGTGACTTGGAAGAAGCTGCTTTAGATCAAATAATTACCCTGATACTTTTTTTTAGAAAGAATGCTTTTGAAAAATAACAACCAATTGTGCCTTCATGAACTTTAAGAAAACTTTAGGTAACTTACCCAGAACATGTTACGGTATACATGTTATGGCAAATAATAAACATTATCAAAGCAGTGTATGAAAGCTAAGAGTGTGCAGTGCAAGTAGATGATGGTTTAAGTAACTGGTTTGCAATTTGAATTGGAGTGAAACAGGTATGTATTTTATTTAAATCTCCTATTTTCTTTGGCACAATTACTGCCTAGGTGATGACAAAAATGCTGTGCAAGAGATATTGGCATTGACTGGGTAGAGAACCACAATTAGAGGGTCTTGATGTTGCATATAATATTGTTCTTATAGTAAGTAAGAACAGTAAAGACATGAAATAAAAAACATAAGATTTAGCAAATATTGTGTTGAAGTTAGGACTAACTGTCAGTTATGAAAAAACAATCTTGAAGACCAAAAAAAAAAGATCAAGCAGATATCACACTACAGAAAAAAATAGTTAACTTTACAGTTAATTTTTCTGTTTAGGTAATAATTTTTAATTGTCAAGGAAACATAAAGAAAAAGAGAAATCCCGCACCATTGTCAAGGCAACAGCAGCTATTAAAAGTCTGACCAAAATGTGAACTCTAAATAATATAATCTCAAAACCAAGTTATGTATTTTCAACTCTAATGTTATTTCAGTTTTAACATATTCCAGTGACAGTTAGAGAATCACTAAAGAAGGCAGGGAACAAAAATTAAATGCTTTAAAAAAAATGTCTGAGGAAACAGATGGACAAGGAATGGGATGAATTCAAGAAAGGTGAAGTAATAATATAAATGTATTGACAATCACTGGCATAACCAGCTACAAAACAAAGAAGGTTGTACAATATGGGTATATCCTGAGAAGAAGAGAGTAGAGAATCACCAGACAGACACTAAAATTGGAAACAAAAAAGGTTGAGGAAATAGAAAAATTCCAGAGAAATCCTAATATATATAATTTTTAGAAAGCACAGAAGAGTTTTGATATAAACCTGTTAATTCAGAACTGATACATTCAAACAGTATAAGATTACTGTAATCTGCTGTAGAATAAGAATAAATTATTTATATGTTTTATAGAGTAAATACATTTCAAGATCTTATAAAAAGCCATAATCTTGCAATTTGTAAAAGCTCTTGTTCATCGTCTACATTTTAGGACCCCCCCACACAGGAGTAGACAATAAAACTCATTTATTATAAGAACTACTTAAAACCTTTAATTTTAATAAAATCTTAGCTACTTATGAAAAACTATACAGACCAAACTGCCTGCTGGCCCTCTGTAATATCACCCTGTATAGCATGCTGATGTAAAATAGTCCTGGCAACCTGTGGCAAGTCACCTGTCCATTTGTAGGATGCATCCTAATTGAAGAACAGAAATGGAACTATTATCCATTGACATTATCCATTGACATTATTCATTACTGCTGGCTCTTTGTCTAGAACAATTAATAGTATGCGCTGAACTACAAAGCGGTGCCCGTGGCTTAGGTATTGTGAGTCTGACTCGTAACTCCAGCGTAACGCGATCGAAACCCACTGCTGGCTGCGTGGAGTTTTATCATGGTAGAGGGCGTCGCAGGTGGACCCAGCCTAAAATGGGTACCAGGATGTGTGTCTTGTGGAAGTAAAGATGGCTGGCCTAATGCTGACCACATTATCCACCTAGTGCAGATTAAACTGTAAAAATATGGGTGCTCTTCACATATGCCCAAGGGGTGAAAAGAAATATTTACTTTCTTCACTTCAATGAAACCACAAATACTAAAACAGTAAAAGAAAATGAGAGATTCAAGATTCGTCTCTAAACTTTATTAACCTTATGAACTTCCAGAAATGTTAGTTTTTAAGGGACCCTTGGAGGAAGCAAAGAATAGTAATATTGCACCTTACCAGGCGAATCCTAGAAGGCCACTAGGCCTAATAAATATGGCTGGATTTGGGGTGTACTTCCCTAAAAATCTAGACTTATCCTCCACTGGGAAATATAGGGCATGTGGAAAAAAGTAGAAGATATTGCCAGTTTGGCTAAGATGTCTGGATAGATACAGATGCTGAAGTATTTCTTCGTTAAAATTCCAATCACAAAGATTTAAAGTGCTACATAAGAAACTGTATTAAACAGAAAGTATGGAAACAAAAATATAAAATAAAGAGAAAGTGTGTCAAACTACTGTTAATACAGAAACAAGAATGGGCAAAAGTGTTCAAATACTAGAAATTGAAAATTATTTAAAACACTGAACCAGCAGTAAAAAATGTATGTGAAGTATTGAAATTAGAAACAAAATTAGAAATACTCCTACCTGAATGAAAAATTTGAATGAATAATTAGTAATACTAATAGTTTAATTATAGGTAATAAAGTAACAGGTAATGCATTACAGTTAACCAGGGATTTTTTTTAAAGGAAATAAAAGCACTGCCGTCTACTACAATGTTGTATTTAAAAAAAAAAATGCTGGTACTGCCCAAAAAGTTTTTTTTTTTTAGAGTAGTATCAAAATTAAAAAAATTTAAAGTTATGTCTTGGAAAGATGCTGGAACTATGTACAACTGCGTACTACCCAACAAAATCTGGTGCAGTTAACACTAAAAAACGAAAAAAATGTAAACAATTATAAATAAACTTACAACTCTTCACACAATATATTAAAGATCAAAACATGTGGGGGAACATGACAGCTCACACTAATCTTCAAGGCACAGGATAATGATGATGATAAGAAAAGGTGACACTAAGTAATTAGCTCACTAAATAGAGATGACTGCGCTTTAAAGAAAACCACTCAGATAAAAGGTTGAATTATTTCTAATTTAAAGATAATGTGGGTGTCAATCCTCCCAAAAAAGAATTAAAAAAAAGAAATGCAAAGTAAGAGGTCTAGTAGCCAAAAAAATTCCCAAGTTTCTGGTTTTAAATTGCTTCCAATGCCAACTCTGTTGCTTATCATCAAGCAATTTACAAGCAGCTATGTATATTTTACAACAAAATATATTTCATTGGATTTTGGGGGAGTTTGGAAGGGAGTGGGAAGGGGGAAGGGAGTGGGGGTTGAGAAGGAAGAAACAGAAAGCAGCAAATACATAAAAGGTGAATGAACAAAATAATACAAGGAAACAATGGGGAAACTAAGGAAATGGGTCGGGCACACAGAGAAGTGACCGCAGGGTACATTTCAACTGTTAAAGGCCTTGTGCCTTATCACCACTGCTGTTTAACACCTACACCGACAGTATATGCAAGAATGCTAAGCCCATGAATGAAGATCTTAGTAAGATCAACGAATTACTCTTTGCAGATGACCAGGCCTTGATAGCAGATACAGCCATGAAATTGCAACAACATCTAACATCCATGAATGAAGAATGTAAAACAAATAATATGAGAATCAACACTGAAAAGACAGAAGTAATGTCAAGAGAAAAAAGAAGACAGATCTAAACATAGCAATAGAATACAAAGGCATTAAACAGGCATCTGAGTTTAAATATCTGGGAACTACATTTACCGAAGATGGGAAAGCAAACCAAGTATTGGGACAGGTAGCCCCCCTCTTACAGCATAAGACAATCCCAATCAGCACAAAGAGACATCTTATTCAAAGCATATTTATTCCAACTCTGTGCTACCAGTGCCAGACATGGTCACTCACAACAAACCATAAAAGAAAATTAGTAACCACGGAAATGAGATGTCTGAGAAGGGCTGTAGGAGTGACCATAAGAGATAAGATCAGGAATGAGATCATAAGAGAACAAGTCGGCACAGAACCAATTCTGGATTACAAAGACAGCAAGTGAAATGGTTTGCCCACTTAGAGAGAATGCCTTGTGACACCATACCATACAAAGCATACATGGAAAGAGAAGAAGGACGTAGAGCACGGGGTAGACCAAGAACAAGATGGAAGGATAACATCAGAGAAACTCTACAACAGCACGATGTGCCTATGGTCGAGCAGCCAGAAGAGCTAGAAACAGAACCTTATATCTTCCTCGACACCCACAGCGGTAAAAAAGGAAGTGAAGAAGAAGAAGAAGAAGAAGAAGAAGAAGAAGAAAGGCCTTGTACAGGAGAACTGCCAATAGACTGTGAGTGACACTGCCGCACTCTGAACAGTTTGTTTCGTGCCGCACTGTGAACAGTTTGTTTCCAAACTTTATACAAATGCTAGACAGTCATTTATCACCACGCTGAACCTTTATTCTGCAATGCATTTCTATAGGTTTCCTCTCTACACTGAAATACTTTAGGTAGATTTTTAACTCAAAATTTTGCCAACGCGGCGCCATCGTTAGGCTCTTTTATCAATTGTCGACTACCAAGGAAATTTTACGTGTGCAACAATGCACACAGGTGTCCGATTTCAAAGTACCTCCAGCATTCGAGGCGGACACCATGTCTCGAGACCACGCAGCCTCCCAGGGAGACAGAGAGAAGATGATAAACAATTTGACATTATGGTGTGGAGGGTCATCTGTGACAAAAATGATTGCCAGTACTTGAGACAGAAGAACGGGAGCCAGACTACAGACAGGACTAACAACACCACAGAACACGGAAACAATAATAAAGACTACAGACATGACTGAAAATACCACAAAACACGGACACAATAATAAAAAGAATAAAACAATAAAAGTATAACAATGAAACAAAAATATACATTGTATCTCCTGAGCTCATGCTCAATGAAGATACACATCAAGTCCTCGTGTTGTCGGACATCGGACCAGTTGTCCTCTTCATGAATTCCCCTGTTTTCCCTTGTGGCCAGGCTGAGCTTGAGGTGGATCTCACCCTGGATGTTGGAACGTGATGACCTGCCTTCAAGTTTGTACCAATGGTTCAAGCCAGTTGATGGGAGATCCTGATGAAGAGAAAAAAAAGGTTTGATTTTTAAGTAGCCACAGAGGGTTAATTCTTATGCCCGCTAAGACAAGTTTTGGGTTAAATCCTCCATAGATGCAGACTTCCCAGGTAGACCCAGCTTGAGTGGGTACCACGTACAGTCCTGGGAAGTAAAGGCAGCTGGCGTTATGTTGACTTAATCACTCACCAAGTACCGATTGGTCTATAAATATAGGTATAGCTCTATGTGCGCAGACTGGAAGTCATGGTAACAAAGGTGCTAGATGTCAGCCAGATAGCTTGAAGGTGTTGGGTTCAGATATGCATCAAAGCGGATTTAAAACAAAAACAAAAACATGACATTGGTTCTCAGGTCGACACAACCAATACACGTGTGGGTTCTAGCGTTCTATTCTGGAGAAGAAAGAATAGATCCACTGCCACCTAACAAAAATGGTGACTAGGCAGCGACTTATCTCAGATCTGAGATCCTTCAAAGTCAGAGTGCAACTGCCTAAGAGGCAAGAAACCAACAGTCTGCATACAAATAAGCCAGATCTGTACAACAGATGTGCCCTAAAACTCAATTTCCAAAGTCCAGGAGCGGACGAACAAAATAGCTTTTCACCTGAATTTACAGCTGGTAATCGCTAATAATCATAATAATAAACATAATAAGACGGAAAAGAAGAAGAAGAAGAGAAGAAGGAGGAGGAATAGGACGAGGAGAAGAAGAAGAGAAGAATAAGAAAAAGTTCAAAATGGATACTAGGTAACAATCACGGGAAATAGAAACAACAAGCATTATGTGGATCTTATTGACAATCAAATGCTGATGGGTTTATGAAAATATAGGTATAGCCATATATGCCTTATGAGTCAAAGGTGTGATAGAATCGTATACTCGATTTATTTCTGAGGCAGATTACATGTCTGCCATTTACTTTTGCCGTCCGTGCAATCAAAACTCGTCAAACTACTAACTAGCCAGCTTTACAGTGCATCGCTCTTATGGCAACCCATCAGAAAACCCTGTACTAATACCAACGCCTCATGTATTTTCACAACCAAAGTGCCTCAAGTAATCTATGTCCAATTCGTACTGACCCATCCATGTCTCTGCTTCCATTAACAATGTTTTCCACTACAGCTCTTTCTAAACAACTGTGACATTTAAAATTGTCAAATTATTTGAGTTTCCCAGATATTTTGCTGTTTTTAAGTAAAGCAATCTGCATTTAGGTCTAGTACTAACCTAAATACTCCGATCAAAACCCAAAAGGAAACAGCTGTTTAAAAGCTGTATTTGAAAATTAAATCTAAGGTGATGAAATATTTGTGCCGTACGTCATACTGCTGTTTAGAAAATAAGTGACCTCATGAAAACTTAAAACCACAGTGTGAAGGATGCACTCTTGGGTTCACACCAGAGATTACAGATAGCCCAGCATGATGTATTGCTAAACAATGCAGTTGCTTCTATGCTTGACAGCTGACAGTAATGGATGCACTATGTTATTGTTCTCTTTGTTATTTCCAGGCAATTGCACCCTATTTATCCGCATTAATTAACCATTACATTTGGCATTGCATTGCTGTTCCTAGAGCTATTTATTTGCACACACAATGTTTTGTTTAATTTGTTTTTTTTAAATTTCAATAATGCAATGATTTCCATATCTTATTGTGTTTTTCCCCACATCTTTTTTTGTTTGCTCACTGTCACATGTATCTTTAATTTGTGAAACATTAAATTTTCCACCTCTGTATTTATTTTTTTTTTTCCTTAATTCAAAATACTCGTTTACGTATTCTAATATTCACGCTTTCCCTTCCTCTGTCTCTTCTTCTTCTTCCTCCTCCTCTTCTTCTTCTTCTTCTTCTTCTTCTTCTTCTTCTTCTTCTTCTTCTTCTTCTTCTTCTTCTTCTTCTTCTTCTTCTTCTTCTTCTTCTTCTTCTTCTTCTTCTTCTTCTTCTTCTTCTTCTTCTTCTTCTTCTTCTTTTCTTCTTCTTTCTTCTTCTTCTTCTTCTTCTTCTTCTTCTTCTTCTTCTTCTTCTTCTCTTCTTCTTCTTCTTCTTCTTCTTCTTCTTCTTCTTCTTCTTCTTCTTCTTCTTCTTCTTCTTCTTCTTCTTCTTCTTCTTCTTCTTCTTCTTCTTCTTCTTCTTCTTCTTCTTCATCTTCTTCTTTTTCTTCTTCTTCTTTTTCTTCATTTTCTTTTTCTTTTTCTTCTTTTTCTTCTTCTTCATTCTTCTTCTTCTTCTTCTTCTTCTTCTTCTATTTCTTCTTCTTTTTCTTCTTCTTCTTCTTCTTCTTCTTCTTCTTCTTCTTCTTCTTCTTCTTCTTCTTCTTCTTCTTCTTCTTCTTCTTCTTCTTCTTCTTCTTCTTCTTCTTCTTCTTCTTCAGCTTCCTTCTTCTTTTTTCTTCATTTTTCCTTCTTCCTTCTTTCTCCTTCCTCATTCTTCCTTCCTCTCCCTTCTTTTTCCTTCTTCCTTCTTATTCCTTTTTTTTTGTTCTTTCTTCTTCTCCCTTCTTCTTCTTTTTCTTCCCATTTCTCCCTTTTTCTTCCCCTTTCTTCCTTCATCTTCCTTCTTTCTCTTCTTCCTTCCTTCTTTTTTCCTTTTTTTGGTCTTCTTCTTCGTCTTTTTCTTCTTTTTTCTGCTTCTCTTTTTCTTCTTCTTCTTCTTCTTCTTCTTCTTCTTCTTCTTCTTCTTCTTCTTCTTCTTCTTCTTCTTCTTCTTCTTCTTCTTCTTCTTCTTCTTCTTCTTCTTCTTCTTCTTCTTCTTCTTCTTCTTCTTCTTCTTCTTCTTCTTCTTCTTCTTCTTCTTCTTCTTCTTCTTCTTCTTCTTCTTCTTCTTCTTCTTCTTCTTCTTCTTCTTCTTCTTCTTCTTCTTCTTCTTCTTCTTCTTTCTTTCTTTCTTTTACTTCTTCTTCTTCTTTTTTTTTTCTTCTTCTTCTTCTTTTTCTTCTTCTTCTTCTTTTTCTTCTTCTTCTTCCTAATCTTCTTCTTTCTCTTTCCTTCTTTCTTATCTTCACCATTTATCATCTTTCTTCTTGTCTTCTTTCCTATTTTTCTTCTTCTATTTTTTTTGTCATTCTTCTTTCTCTCTCTCCTTCTTGTTTCCTCTTCTTTTTTCTTCTTTTTTCTTATTATTATTCCATTTGTCATCTTTCTTCTTTTTTCTTTATTCTTCCACCTTCTTTCCTTTCTTCTTCTTCTTATAGTTCTTCTTTTTGTTCTTCTTTTTCTTGTTCTTCTTCTTCTAGTTCTTCTTTTTTTTCTTCTTTTTCTTGTTCTTCTTGTTCTTGTTCTTGTTTTTCTTCTTGTTCTTATGTTCTTCTTCTTCTTCTTCTTCTTCTTCTTCTTCTTCTTCTTCTTCTTCTTCTTCTTCTTCTTCTTCTTCTTCTTCTTCTTCTTCTTCTTCTTTTTCTTCTTCTTCTTCTTCTTCTTCTTCTTCTTCTTCTTCTTCTTCTTCTTCTTCTTCTTCTTCTTCTTCTTCTTCTTCTTCTTCTTCTTCTTCTTCTTCTTCTTCTTCTTCTTCTTCTTCTTCTTCTTCTTCTTCTTCTTCTTCTTCTTCTTCTTCTTCTTTGCTGCTTCATCGTCTTCTTTTTTGTTTTTCTTCTTTGCTCACTGTAGACTTCTGCAGAAATCTCTGGTTGTTCATCCACCTCCGGACATTATTCTTGTTCCAGATACTAAAAAATAAAATAAAAAAGGAAGTAGCGACCACAGTACTGCGTGTACAGTCAACTGTCTGTCTGTCTGTCTGTCTGTCTGTCTGTCTGTCTGTCTGTCTGTCTGTCTGTCTGTCTGTCTGTCTGTCTGTCTGTCTGTCTGTCTGTCTGTCTGTCTGTCTGTCTGTCTGTCTGTCTGTCTGTCTGTCTGTCTGTCTGTCTGTCTGTCTGTCTGTCTGTCTGTCTGTCGGTCGGTCGGTCGGTCGGTCGGTCGGTCGGTCGGTCGGTCGGTCGGTCGGTCGGTCGGTCGGTCGGTCGGTCGGTCGGTCGGTCGGTCGGTCGGTCGGTCGGTCGGTCGGTCGGTCGGTCGTCGGTCGGTCGGTCGGTCCTGTCTGTCTGTCTGTCTGTCTGTCTGTCTGTCTGTCTGTCTGTCTGTCTGTCTGTCTGTCTGTCTGTCTGTCTGTCTGTCTGTCTGTTTGTCTTTCTGTCTGTCTATTTGTCTGTCTGTAATTGTGTGTGTGTCTCTGAGTGTGTCTGTGCGCGTATATCTCTGTGTATATGTGTGTGTGTTTGTGTCTGTGTCTGTGTGTGTTTATGCATATATATATGTGTCCGCGTGTGTGAGTCTGCATGTGTGTGTATGCGGGTTTGTGTGTGTGTCGCATTTGTATATCTGTGTGTCGCATCTTTGTGTCTGTGTGTGTGATTGGGTCTGTGCGCGTATGTCTCTGTGTGTGTGGTGTGTGTCTGCATTTGTTTCTATGGGTGTGTCTGTGTGTGCATGTGTATATCTGTATGTATGTATGTGTGTAGAATGTGCGTGTCTGTTTGGGTAGGTAGGTATGTATGTGGGAAAATGGGGGGTGCTTTTATGTGTGTGTGTGTGTGTGTGTGTAAAGGTATGTGGGTGTATTTGAATGAGTGGGTAAGAGTGTGTGTGTGTGTGTGTGTGTGCATGCGCTAGTGTGTGCATGCATTTTACCACCCATGCTTCAGTGTTTTCTTTTATCTTTTGATTTGTTTTGTTTTTGTTTATATTCATAATAAGCATATTATCGTATGAATATAACATGCTTATTGATAAAATACAGCTGCAGTGTGAAAGACAGGTGTTTGGAAGGGCCCAATGTAAGACGGGCCTGCGTGCCCAATTTGTGACCCCTTAAAAATAAAGTTCGTTCGTTCTTCCTCTTCTTCTTTTTCTTCTTCTTCTTCCTCTTCCTCCTTCTCTTCTTCTTCTTTTTCATTTTTTTTTCATTTTTCATCCTTCTCTATTCTTCTTCTTCTTCTTCTTCTTCTTCTTCTTCTTCTTCTTCTTCTTCTTCTTCTTCTTCTTCTTCTTCTTCTTCTTCTTCTTCTTCTTCTTCTTCTTCTTCTTCTTTTACTACTACTTCTTCTACTTTTCCTCCTCCTCCTCTTCCTCATTATCATCATCAGTTTGTTCGTGTTATTTAAAACAGTTTAATTACCTCTCAGATTATAAGTTAGTAAATTGTTTTAATATCCATGAATAGTAATTTGCTTAGTGTTTTCTCGCTTACTTTCCCACATTTCATGCACCTAATTTATAAAGCTAGATATAGGCAGTATAAAAGAACAATATACTTTCTCTTCTGCCTTTCATTTTCCAATGGAGCATTGATCTTCAGTCAAGGGAACATATATTTGTTCGTGGTGTAATGTAACTCAACTAGTTTTATTTGGGATAAGAAGCGAGTTCTCATAACCACTCTATTTACACCCCTATTTCAACATTTTTAACAGATGGAAGCATTACTATTCTTCAGTTTAATTAGGTACCATCTGCGCAAACATGGGTATCGCAAAAACGCTATTCTTTCGTCCAAGTTCTACACTCTGTGAGACTGCTGTTTGTCCCTCTCTTTATGTTATTCTTCACTAACATCTGTCACTATAAAGCACGAAACTTAGGAAGCTCCTGCACAAGACCGGACTCTACGGCCAACCTCCATCCGAATAGGCGCTGTAACTTGTGAGGCATCTAGAAAGATGGCTGTTGAACAGCGAGGACAGGCTAGAAAGACTCGTATAACAGGTTCGTTATCTACAGGCACTGTTTCCTGCTCTAGTTATCCTAGATATTTAAAGACCCATATTAGGCCTACAAGATTTATAAGTCACCTCTGAAATTACACAAAATCAATTAAAGATCGACATTGAATGAAATGGTTCGGCCATCTAGTGAGAATGCAGCCAGTCCGGACTGCATATGAGACTGTTTACAGTAGAACATCTGGGAGGAAAGCAAGAGGAAGACCAGGAAAGAGATGGATAAATTGTGTAGATAAAACCTGCAAAAAGTTGAACAAATCCACCACTCAAGCCACCCGAGAAGCGGGAAGGGCAAGACAAGTACTGAAAACCAAAACACTGGGCTACAACCTGGTAACAGTAAGACAACAACAAAACAGAAGAAAGAAGATCGATGAAAGAAAAAGTGGTGATGGACAAATAACAACTAGTTATTCTCCCATTCGTATCGCTGTCTATCCATTGATTCCTGACAGCCGTATTCCTCTGATATGGTTATCAAAAGTGTTACATTAATGTAGCAAAATATTTCACTTGTGTTATATGGTTCCTTTAGCCACAATCATTTCATTTTCAGTCTCTTTAGATTCTATGGACTGATACTATTCTTCCCCCTGTTGGTTCCGGGTTCCCATTGTAGGGAAAACAAAAATAGACCCACAGCCTCTCTAACAAGCATGTCGTATGAGAAAACTAACTGAGGGCTTCCTTCAAAGTCGGAGTGCATCTGTCTGAGAGTTAAGAAACCAACAATTTGCATAAAAATAAGTCAAATCTGTAAAACGGATGTGTGCTCAACATGCAGGTTCTGGAACAAGATTTAAGTCTAGAGGTGGACGAATAACCGGAAACTTCCGCCAGTTGGTGAACGCAAAGAAAAAGAAGTTGCTGTTCCTGTCTTTAGAAGTCACAGTAACACAACGTCCCCAGAAAAGCATTGCTCAGAAGTAACCTACACCCAGCTTGTTATGGGTCGTAAATTAATCAAATAACCATCGATGTGCCCAGCACTCCTGAAGAGTTCAGGATGAAAAATAATAATTTTGTAATTGCTAATATGTATATCAATATCTGCACCAAGAAAAGCTATCTAAATGCAGATTTAAAATAAATTTTTAAAATCGTCTATCCTTAACTAGCCGCATCAATAAAATAAATGGCATTGCTGAAACTTTACTGTTGAAAAAAAATAAAAAAAATAATAAGGTTAGAAAAAGTAAAGCCCATTTTCACACCATTAGCAAAAAATGCATCTAATGAAATACTTATATTTTTTTTTATAACAGCTGAATTTGCATTAAATATTCCCACGCCTTTTGAAATTATAACGTGGGTGTTGCCAAGCCTTCTGAAAGCAGAACATAACTAGGGTAATCATTCGTCCCGTTTTCACAGGGACAGTATTATTTTTTAGATGTCCTCAAATAGTCTCGTCAGTACTCGGGAGGTAAAAAGTCACTAGTCATATTTTACAAAATGATTAGGAATTAGTTCATAACTTAGACATTAACTTAGAAAACTTAACTTATAGTAGTATCTTAGACCTTTGATTTGACAGTTTTTGAATACTTGAAATAATATCACTGATAATAATAATCAATGAATTGCAGAATAATTATGGGGGGTGGAGATGATGGCGTTGGGAAATGGGGTGGGCGTTGAGTTAAAATTACTTGCTTGGGATGTCCCATTTTTAGCTTTAAATATTAGTGGAATGTCCTCTTTTAAGCTCAAAATATTATGGTCACCCTAAATATAACACTGTCTATCATCTGGAATAAGGGAAAGGTGCTGAAGGATGCACAAGAAATAATTATACAATAATTATATAATTATATAATAAGTATTCTAGTGCCCCTCTTACTTCTAGGAAACATGGATTTTCTGCCCAGGATGTTTGGGTGTGCTTGGTAACGAGCAGGCTGATAGTCTGGCTGCTGTCTGTCAGTACTCTGGATGGTGAGCTACTTTATGATGTGGCAGACATCGCAAATGTCTCTAGTATGTAGAGGGCAGTCAAAAGAATAGAGAAGTATATTTTTTAGCTTGTGGAGCCATATTTTAAAATCTGCTTCTTTGCCGCTTAGCTGCTTTTTCTTTTTCAATATTTGATTATGGCTCAACTGAGCACCAGTTGGAAACTGCACTAATAGAGTTTCTCATGGGTACTGGAACCCGGAAGCTCAAGCACCTTAAGTCCAAAAAAATTTTAAAAATGTCAGGGCAAAAAGGTACCCCACCCCATATATTTGATGTTTTAAGAAAAATTAGCATGGGGGGGGGGAGTGGGGGGGGGGGGGGGGGGGGGGGGGGGACTAATTACCACTTAGACGTTTTAGTGTGACATATTTGGCCAAACATTTCAATTTGTTTCAAGTATACTATTTTATTTATTTGTCATCATAAGTAAGTTATTGTGCACTTAAACAAGATGTAAGCCACTGAGCACCCACTCTCAGAAAATTATATTGGGACTGATCTCTCCTTCCTCCAGCAATATCAATAATTTCTTGATGGTAGCATACCCTCAGATTGTATAGCTAGGGAGATTGATACAGTGGGCAGTCATCTGAGGGACTGGATAACATTCACAAATTAGAGGACAAGACAAGATGGTCTGTTAAGGATGTCTCGACTGGCATTATCAGCATAGGGTGTTGGCAACTGAGTACACGGACAAAGCATTCAAGGAAATGTCCCAAGTTGACTTATGTCAGTTTTTTTCGTCATTCAGTCATTGATTGATTGACTGATTGTTGGTTCCCTTAATTCATTCATACTCACCTCTAGAGGAATGTTGACACAGCCGAGGAAATCGTCAATAACATCGTCATCATTTGATCTTGCTGATTGTGCCACCTGTTTGAAAAAACGGCCCAAACCCTTCAGTCCTGCGATCTCGTTCAACTTCTTGGCTGCCTCGACCACGGAGAACTCATCATCGTGATCCCTGTAAGGTCAAAGAACTGAATGTCATTCGGGGAAGCAAAGCTAAAGAAGCAGGTTAAGAAAACAAAATCATAAACAGTAAAGTTAAACAAGACATACACAACACAGAAAATTTAGAACCTGAATAATCAAGCCTTTTTATGACCAATATGATTTGTTTTGATTGATATTTTAAAGTACCTGGGTGCCCTGATAACATCAGATGAAAGATGTATTTAGAAAGTTAAATGTCGAACAGCCCCCCCCCCCCCCCCCCCAAAAGGTAGCATTTTACAAAAGGAAAACTATTAGTGAAAACTTATTTGGAAGCTGCGGAGATGTGGTTTTACAGACCAATGATGAGAATATCCTGGACAGATAAAAAATAGAAAATGAAGATGTCTTGAATGAAACTGGCTCACGAAGAAAACTGATTGCCCACATCAGAAAGAGACAGTCTACATTCTTTGGTCATGTGATGAGAAGGAGAAAATTTGAGTACATCGTGACTGTAGGAATGCTAGAGAGGAGGAAAGGCAGAGGGAGACCGGGAGAACAGATGCTGACATCATGACATGGAAGACCATTTGTGTCAGAGTTGATTGAAAGTACACGAGACAGAAGGTTGTGGATAGACATGACAACCAACGTCACACGGGCCCTCTTTAAACACGTATAGAAGTTCTTTTTTTTAAAATTAAACACACATAACATAACACTTGACCAGTTATGGTCTTGGATGTTTATCACTTGAATTACAAACACACAAAACCCATCATCTAATCATCTTCCTCTGTCTTCGGCTTGATGAACAAGTATATGGTAACTTAGTCCTATCCATTTCTTGTTGTTGTCATTTCAGTTTTCTTTAAGCCTTCTCTCCCCCCCCCCCCCCCCCCCCCCCCCCCACCTTTCCCCGCCTATGTTCCTTGAAGTAGTCTTTGCAATCGAATCATGTCTCACCATGTGCCCGAACCAAGCTAGCTTGCGACGTTTCACCACTGCCAAGAGGAGAGGCTCCTTGTGTCTTGCAAATGTGTGTGTATTTTATCTCTGACATATGTGTTAGTTATGTGTTCTGAATAACTAATTCGTAAAATGCGTTTCTAACATTTACATTCCTAGCTATTCTCCTTTCCATTTCCACAGCGACAGTACAACTCTCACATACGTATAAGAAAATAGACAATACTATCAAATAGTAATTTGTATATATTGATCCTAAATGCTTTACTGATTTTGCTCTTCCACGCCGTACTCAGCTGGGACATCGCGGCTGTTGCCATTCAAGTCTTGCCGTGATCTCTTTAGAATCTTGCTTTTTTCCCTGCATTAATTTCCAAGACATATTTACCGCTGTCTCTAATTCAAAACCAGCCATGAGATCAATGTCATTGCAATATGTAAATTACATATTGGTCTTTCGCCAACAGTTATAGATGTTTTATGATTTTCTAATGTTTCTCTCGTGATGTATTCCAAATATAAATTGAAAAGGACAGGGATAGTATGCAGCATCGTCTCACTCCCATACTGGTTTTGAAAAATGTGTCTATGTCATTTTGAATGAGTACTGAACTGCTTGCATCTGTGTTAAGTGTTTCAATAGTGTATACGATGTTCTTATGGAATATGAAATGTCTCATTATTTGCCAGAGCCCAGCATGCCTGACACGGTCAAATGCCTTTGTGAAGTCAATAAAGTTATGGAATAGTTCACGCTAACGTGATGTGTGTTGTCCATCAAGATGATGATGACCACTCTTTTTCATCAAGTATTAGTACGAAGATGACTGATGAGGCCGATGCAGGCCCGAAAAGTTCTTGGACAGTGAGGACAGGGAATGATCGTTGTGCCAGGGAGGGGATCTCCTGCAGTAGCCTTTCTGTCCATCCTTTTCTTAATAAGTCTTCCTGTTCTGTTTGCTTCACATGCAGCCGTGCCCTTGTGTAGAGCTGCACGCCATGCATTTCGGTCTTGAGAGGCAGCCTCCCAATTGGAGTCATTCATCCCAAATGCTTTGAGTGAAGACTTCAAGGTGTCCTTAAAGAGTTTCTTTTCGCCCGCATTGGGTACGTTTCCCATTTTGCAGCTCACCATAGAGGAGTTTGGGGAGCCTGTGATCTGGCACGCTGATGTACACTTTAATTAAAGACTGCTAATCTAATGCGGGTTTCATAATGATAAAACAAGTACAGCTAAACACATTTGATCACTAATGGTTATATTTTGCCGCCCCCAATATTTTGCCGCCCTATGCAGATGTACATGGTCCACAATGCCTAAACAAGACTCTGCATATATTGTTCTGGCGGCAAGTCCATTTCTTGAGACTCTGAAGATACATGCACGGGGACTGAACAGGCGGTGGAGGAAGTAAAAGGAATGCAGAGGGGATTCTGTCAAATTTAAAAGCATCAAAAAATATTAATGTATACTGACCATATATCCAGATGAAGACAATCAATTTGAACATCATCCAGGTCACTGAAAAAAAAAAAAAAAATAAAACATTTGCAATGAATGATTGAAAAGACATTAGGGAATTAAATTTATTATATTCCTTTTCTTATTTACAAATATGGGAAAACAGGTTCCTCTTTTCTTTGATGGATTATAGGCGTTTTTTTTTTTTTTTTTTTTATTTAACATTTACTAATCATCATGATCAATCAGCAGGGGCCCGTTAGCGCAGTCAATATGAGACTCGCTTTCAAATCCAACTGCGACCCGCTGCAGCACAATGTCGATGTTGGAAAGCGGACAGTTCCCGGGATTCCCCCAGCCTCTAGGAAATGGGTAACAGAGTTAATATTCTTTGGTAAATAGAGGGACATCGCTGTAGCTACGGGGTTGCGTGTGGACGGCGACACAGGCAGACAGTTTCGTATCAGCTGTTCGTACTGTGGCAGAGCACTTATGGTTTATAACCGTGTGCAATGACGCTGGTTCACATCTCCCGACTTTACCTTTATCTTTATCATTCAGCAGGGTTTTTTTTTTTTCCACAGAACGTCGCCCTCGTCACAGCACACCCCACAGTCTCACTACTTCTAGCCAGTGTTCCAGACCACTGTACTTTCATAGCCAACGCATCTTCACTGACTCGTATCCATCGTTGAGGAGGTGTGACGAGCTGGCCTGGACAGCTGTTTCTGCACTTTTAAGTATTGCTGTGTAGTGGTAATATTATTATCAAATTTGTAAACATTTCTTTATTGCTTTCTATCAGCCTTAATAATACTTAGGTAATTAGAAGGTTAAAAGGCGAAATGAGATTGGGTAGTGCAAGGGGTAACTGAAGAGTTACTTCCCCCTTTAAGGACTCTCCTCTTTCATTTTTATACCAGGCACGATTGGGGGAGTCAAGATTTTGCTCTCCTCAATTGACGCAGTTTAGACTAAAGTTCTGTAGTCTTGTTGCCTGTGTTTGAATTCCCTACCAGGGGTGAGTTAATCGAATTAGTTTAATTTGATCTATTGCTGCTTATTCCTCTGAAGTAATTTTATTTGCTGAACTCTGAAATTTGATGCCCACATGGCTTAGAAATTCTTGTGAATTCCCTTATCCTTACTAACCACGTTTATGATCTAGTATCTTCATGTATGCAAACATATGATCTATTTAATGATTGAAATAATGTTTATTTGATACTTGAAACGTGCATTGGTATTTTTAATAATTATAATTATATTAACTAGGTGAGAATTTATGTCCTCGTGTGAAATCTCGACCAGTTCCGGTTTTCAGCATAGTGAGACAATTAAAAAAGGAATGAAGTGTATATTCATTATACCTAATCCTTACTAAGTTGATTTCACCTCATGGGGATATCAGCTTGATAAATCACTGTCTTGTTTTAAATTTAGATTTAGTCCAGATAATTCTGAGACTGGTTTAAGAGCTTGAAAAAAGTGAATAACACAGAGCGGCTGAATTTAATATTCGCACTGTCGTAGAGGGAGAGAGATGTATGGCCCATGCTTGTAATTATTATTGTTGTATATATATATATTTCCCCATTACTAGGAATATTTCAGTACTACAGCAGGTGACCTTACAATTTTAATAATTATATTTCACCCCTCACAACTTCTAAACTCTGCTGACTAAGATGTTATCACACATGTGGATTTAGATTTAAACTGGAGTGAGTGTTGTATATTTTATGTTAATACTGTGACAGATGGAAAGCCCATTGTCATCCATAATTGTATTATGACATCTATCCCAGCACCCAGTTATACTGATGGAGGTATGTCAATCCCATTTATTTTCAAACAGTGCAAAGCCCCTGTTATGAGTTTCTGGCCTTTGTAAACTGACTCCCTGATTCTCATTCTTTGTGATGTGAACCATGTGGTTAAAATGAGAATATGACTGTGTATGTCTGTGTGTGTAAGCATGTTAACCCTTCAAAGGAATACTAGTGTACAGACATAAGAACAATTTACACTGATAAATGTCCTTTCTTATTGTGTGATGTAAACTCCTGTGCTTGAGAGCATTCATGAAACTGATGTTTCCTAAATATTTCCCCATCAGGATTATGGACCATGTTCTGTAAACATTTCTATTCTGTACCAGTAGAATGTGAACACCTGTTACTATCCTACTCCATTTATATGTGTGTAGTGTAACAGTTTGAAGACTCGATGTATTGTTGTCTCCAGTGAGAACTTCCCTGACTGTTTGTATAGGGACTGTTCTATTGTTCTAGTTCCAGATGGTAGCTCCAGATGGTAGTTCCAGATGATAGTTCCAGGTGGGAGTTCCAGAAGTAAATCCCAGCGTAGCTGCAGATGCCCAATTGTCTGGACTGGACTGGAAGATTAGGCCTGCTTGATGTGTCTCCGAGGCTTAGCCAGAAGATGACCAAATAATAGGATTTTATTTCCACAGCCACTCAAAGTATATTAGCTTGAATTCCAATTAATAAATAAATGTTAGAGTTTTAATGTTCCTACAGTTTTATGGAGTTTCATTTTAACTGTAAATATTTGTGTGTCAGTGAACTTAGGTACATTTAAATATGCAAGTTTATTAACAGTAGGAAATTAAGATGTGGGCAAGCCCCGAATCCTCTCATTTAACCAGCAAGGCTGGGGGGCAATATAAACCTTTGTGATGATCAACTGTTTGTTATTCCCTATGTAAATTGCACATAGTGCATTCGCTAGTTAACGCGAATTTACCCGCCACATGAGGCCTGCCTCAGACTCGTTCTCCTTAAAATGTGCCCTTCATCAAGTTTCTCTCCAGGCCACCATAACGTTTAACATTGCCACAATTCCTCGGTCTTTAAGGATAAGATGTTGTTGACGAGCCAATTATCCTAAATGTTTAGATTAAATAAGGTATCAAAGTTTGCATTCTGCTTGGTCCATGATGTTCTAGGATTTTTTCTGTAGCATTTTAGTTCAAAAGCTCCGATTGTTTTTATTAGGAATCCACTACTCACATCCATAAACTGGCACAGGAAATATACGTGATCTTAATAATTTTTACCTTATCGCACATGCAGATGGTGTTAACTTTCAGTTATGTGTAGACAAAATATTGTACCAGGACTCTATTATATTGTAACCGCAAAAGCGTAGTGTATGGACAATCGCTTGTTGGCTTCGAAATTTTAGGCTAGAATCTGCACTAGGCTAATTTTAAAAAAAAAATACCTTGGCTCTCAGGTGTATAATAGCACAAAATGGGTACTGCCAAGATAAGTAGACAAGGGAATCTGTCGACTACTTTTAGATTTCCATCATTTACGGTGATCGTTGGATCGAAGTAATTTTTTTTTCTGGGAGCTGGTTGATAGATTACAACAGTTTTATCAGTATTGATAGTCCAAAGTTGTTACAGGCTTCATAAAATCTACTGATCTTCTTCTTCTTCTTCTTCGATCCTTCTGTCAGAAAACTTATATCAGGAGGCCGGTAGCCTTTATGAAAGCTATCGTGCAATCCTTATCCTCTCGTGTACCATACAGTTTTGTCTTCAGTGTGGTTGGAACAGGCCAGATTGCGTCTCTGTTGTCAGCATACAGTTGACAGTGTTGGAGCACATGCTCAGCATTTTCGGGTGCCACGCTGCAGGGACACGTCTCCGTATTTCCTACACCGGCATACCTGCCTGAGAGTTGGAGTTTAGAGCACAGTTGTCAGCAAATGAAAGGTCCCTAATTGTAGTTGTTCTAGTCTTTGTTTTAGCACGAAGACTCCTCAAATTAAACAAGCTGCAATCTGTACGGTAATTTGAAGCAATTTTTGGATCGTCATCATCAAAGGCGGTGACAATCATTGCGACAAATGTCACAATGAACAAGGTTGGAGCAAGCAAAAAATCCCTGCTTTACGTCATTTGAGACAAGGAAGAGGTCCGGCGCTTTTTCTTTCGCCAGCATTCTAGCCTCCATACCTCCATGGAACTGCTGTAGAATCCTAACAAACTTCTGAGGAAAGCCAAATTTAGCCATGATTTTCCACGGTCCTCCCCTACTGACTGTATCACAGGCCCACGTCCCATGTGTTAAAGTCTGTACTCACTTAAGCACTGAAATCGCCGAGGATGATAAGATTGTCATCTGTTGGTACTAATTCGATTACAGCCTGAAGGTCTTCACAGAATCCGTTTATGGTCTCGTCTGTGTTAGTCATTGTTGGTGCACATGCACTTACGATTGTGGCATTCCTTTTTCCATGAAACAATGGTACTGACATCACCATGAGCCGATCACTTTAAACCTTTGGGGGTTTAGACAGTTTACCGACCAATATGGTCTTTACTGCAAAACCCACTCCGGTTTCTCTGTGTTCTTCGGGACTTTACTACTCCAGTAGAATGTGTAACCTGCACCAACCTCGCAAAGTTGGCCCTCATCAACAAGTCTAGTCTCGCTCAGGGCTGCAATGTCGATGTTGTGTGAACCAATTTAGTTCCCAATCATGACGGTTCGTCTTTTAGGTGCAGATGCATTCACTCTATCCATAAGAGTTCGTACTTTCCACGCGCCGAGCTCTAGTGGTAGGTTACGAGTCTTTAGTTTTTATTTTTGTTGACTGCAGAAGAGGGGTTTCTCCAGCCGCGGTATGCTGGTCGGGACATGGTGGAACAGGCAATTTTCAGAGCACTTTTTCTAGCCTCTTCCTCATTTTTAGGTGTTTGCTTATAAATTTCATACTAATTCAAATTTCTTCTTTTCCTAGTTCTTCATCGGCTGTAAACTTCAACGAAAAGTTTAGGTTATTGATTCGTCCAGTCATAAACTGTAGTCCTATTCCAGTACTTGAGCTCTGTGTGCACATCCGTTCTACAGATGTTGCTTATTTGTTTGCGTCTAGGCAGATGCACTCCAGCTTCGAATGAAACCACTAATTAGCCAACTCTTACGCTATGCTTTCTATGGAGGCATTGGGCCTATTCTTTGTCCGCCCCCCCCCACCCACAATATGGGACCCAGAAACCCACACAGGGAGACTTTATTATT